TAAAGAAGCCTATAAGTCCATATCATTCTACTGTGAAACTTTTAATTTACCGTAAAAAAAAAAAAGAAGTTAGAAAAATATTAAATAGTTTGTTCAAGGATCTTTCTGTATATTTATTTCATATTTTAAGACTTTTATGTTATAATAGCATATTGTTTTGCGTTATTATAATAATATAAATTATTGTGTGGTCCAAAATAGTAATTAAGTCCTTCCATGTTTGTATAATAGTTTGTGTGGTCTCCCCATTTTATTATGGGAAAATTACATATACATGGAGTCAAAGTTCCATATTTACTTAGAGACTGAGTCAAAGTTCCATATTTCTCTAAAATGGATTGCTGAGGTGGCACATGGTTTTTTACTGTTTAGAAAATTGTGGTGCCTAAAATGCCATTCCCTAACAAAAAAGTAGTACATTCAGTGCAAAAAAGTAGTACCTTCAGTTCAAAAAAGTAGTACCTTCGGAGAAAAAGTAGTACCTTCGCGGGTGTTTAAAAAACATGGTACCTGGACGCCAAAAAGTAGTACCTTCAGTTCAAAAAAGTAGTACCTTCGAAGAAAAAGTAATACCTTCGTGGAAGGGTATTTTAGGCACCACAATTTCTAAACAGTAAAAAACCATGTGCCACCTCAGCAATCCATTTTAGAGAAATATGGAACTTTGACTCAGCCTCTAAGTAAATATGGAACTTTGACTCCATTTATATATAATTTTCCCTTTTATTATTATTTGAAGACTTTGACCTCATTATATTATAGTATTTGGGCCTTAAACCCATGTATCTGTAAAAATTCCTTATTTTTATGATTATTGTTGTTGGTATTGCCTTATGTGACATGTTTATGTATTTGTATTACTCCGGTGTTTTCAATATTTAAATTTGTGGACGTGACTTGATATATCTTTTTACCATAAAGAAATGAGAGTTATTATTTAATAAAAAAATCTTTTTGTGAGGCCTGATTTTAATACTGAAAATTATTTTAGAAAAGAAAAAGTTGGTTTAATAATTGTGACAGTCGTGGAGAGGTATTTGTCAATCGAAAAATGAAATTGTTGGACTTTACAGTGAAGATAGTTTAATAAAATTTTATGTAGTTGGTTAATGTCAGTTTATGTTCAGACGTAATTTACTGCAATGGTGTTATTAATTTATGACATCATCATTTGGAGTTATTTTTATGGTTATTGTTGTTGGTGACTTATGTAACAAGTTTATGTATTTGTATTAGATGTTTTCAATATTTAAATTTGTGGACGTTGGCCTGATTTTAATAACTGAAAATTATTATAGAAAAGAAAAAGTTGGTTTAATAATTGTGACAGTCGTGGAGAGGTATTTTTCAATCAAAAAATGAAATTGTTAGAAAAGAGATGATATATGTGCAAAAATTTATTTAATTAAAAAGTCAAAAGAATAAATACAACCCATTCAAATGAAATAATAATTAATAACAAGAACAATTCAGAAAAAAACTTGTAATGCTTGATGGTTTTTAGTAGAGGTCTGTGCCTCTATTTATATACAAATTGAGATAGATTTATAGTAGGATTCGTTATGCTTTTTCTTCCATATAAGATTTATTCCATATACAATTTATTGTATAAAAGGTTCTTTCCTTCTATAATTCTTCCCCTGCAAAACTTATCCCACGTAGAACTCCTTTCTATAAAGGACCCTTTGCGATGCAGGATTTGACTGATCCGGACTGTATTTAGATGTAATGTGAATGGATCGGATTGGTCTTATAGCAGGCCGAAAAACTTTTGGGCTGAGGATGACTTTATTTAAAGATTGAGCTTTGAAGGGAAAATAGATGGATAATAACTCACTAACGGAGTGGCTGATTTTTATTGGGGAAGATTTTTCCCTGCACATATGAATATTAGTATTAGCAAGTATCCTTGGAATTCGTGTCTTTTCTGGTATGTGGAGTTTGAAATTAACAAATAAGATCACTGAAATTGAAAGGATTTGATACATATGATTCCAGATTTATATTTTAATATTATAATTTATATTCGAGACTGAATTGGAGTTGAATTCTATAGACATGATTTATATCCAACTCATATAATTTGAATAAGATCATACCTAGTGTATAGTAGACTCGATACAAATCAGAAATTCAATTTGCTGAAAGTTTATTCAGACTCAATCCCATCTCGATTGCGTTAAAAATAAACTTTAATTAGATGAATTTTGGTCCAACTTAAAAAATTTATTTTAAAACTCTACTTGATTTGTCATTCATAAAATATATATATATATATATATATATATATATATATATATATAGAGAATTGAAAATAAAAAAATAATACAAAAACTCTATGTATAAAATATCTATATTCAGAAAACTAACATAAAACATTGCCCTTAAAATTTTTTGAAAACAATTTTCTGCTTTCTAAGCGACAACCAAACAAGCCCTTAAAAATACTACCATTTTCGATCACTAGCCGATCAGTGAAAGCAAAACAAGGAGAATGCAACTAGAATGATGACATTTTTGTGATTTTAATTTTTATCCATGAGTTTAAAATATTGGGTAATATAAACAAAGAGGAAAAAAAAGTAAACTTGCTTGCTGGAATCACACCAATGAGGAAAAGTAAACTTGCTTCCATTTCTTTTCAGTAATCAACTCAGGTATTTTTTTTTTTTGTTCAGTCAGGAATCAACTGAGTCTAATGTCAAATGTACATTTTTTTTTTCCCCAGTAATTGTCAAATGTACTTTACTACCAATAAAAATGAATTTTACTAGTTCATGACCACAACCTCAATCCACCGAGTCCACAGACTAAGCCCGAAGCACTTGCAGTTGAAGGAATTCCAAATCTTGCTTTCCCAAAAAGGGAACAACCCTCTCCAAATTGACTGCAACCCTAGCACTACTAGGCAAAAATTTTAATTGAGCCCGTTATAGTGATGACATGGTATCACCAACTTATTATATAGTTCATGTAGTGATAGAATCTACTATAATGAAACATTTTTACTAATGTGACATGATACAATTGATTAATACCACAAATAACTATAACCGAGAACATGGGGCTTATCAAAACATTGTTGTCGCTAATCGTTTCGACTTCCAACACTGTGTCCTGTAGTTGTGGGAGCTTGAGTATGATACTTCTGTGAGTAACAATGCAGCCACCGAGGTTAATCTCCATGTTTTCTGATTATTCTACCAGCACGGATTGATAGGACTGTTCAAAGGTACTCTGATAGGGTGTGTGAAACGTAGATGACCAAAAGGGCAAAATCGACAAATATGGCTGGCTCTTGGACCTGTATAGACAACATTTATGCTGTTTTTAGAATGTCAACAAATAATGTCATTGAGTGATAGAATTTTGGGCATCGGTCATCTACTATGATAAATATTGTTAAATTTGCAGTCATGTCTAGTACCTAGAAGTATGACACCCCCAAAATGCATCACTAGAAGTGTCTAAATAACAATAAAACAGGTAGATGAATGGATTTATTGTTTTTGTTTCTGAAAAAGTGAAAAGTTCAAGTAATTCACCAACAATAAAACATGTTATTATTATTTTTTTTTTGTTTTGACGTAAAATATTTTTTTGAAAAATGACTTCCCTTTTTCAGGTAAATTTTTTTATTTTTACTTTTTCTGTGTTCGGAAAATGTATAAATTGAGGGTGGGGTCGAGTTCATCGGGCGAAACGTATAAAATAAGTTTCCAAAAATTAATGAGTAAGTTATTTTTGTTAACTTTCAATATATATTTATTTTTTTTTTCGTAAATATTTTACTTCAACTAAATACCAAAAAATATAAAATATTTTACATCCAAACAAATGGAGCTTAAATCACACAAAGTATCCGGTAAGACTTGAGAGACCCCAATATTACTTTCAAGTGCCATATCAACTCACAAAAAGTAGCAGTAAAAGAAAATTCAATTCTGCATTTGGAATAAAGAACATGATAAACAACCATTACATATTGTCACGTTCTGCACCAGAAGGTTATGGCACGCCCGCATAAAACAACAACATGGATTTACGATCATTTGATATTCTAGAATTGTATGATAGCCTTGTAAAAATCTTAGGTAATTTTTTAGAATTTTTTAGAACCCTCATGTGGAATTCTAAACATCTATTCACCTTGTAAATATTTTAAATATTCTTTTGCAATTTTCTACCATCCCACTTTAGAACTCTCGATCTCTACCGTCGAATTGGTGATATGTGTATACATATTAAAGGGTTTAGTCTATAAATAAGGGTTGTAGCTCATTTTGTCCTCACACCAAACAATCTAACTATTACAAAAATTCTATACTGTTTTTCCATTCTCTCAAACTCTATTGTTTTACTCTCTATAATCCTTATCTTCTACTGTTCTCATCCCAAAAAAATACTTTCATGACAAATTTAAATTCCATTCATCAGCTTTTAATTTGTCCCAAAGGAATTATCTCCTTGACGAATGTAAACCATTGTATTCGTAAGCTTGTAATCTTACAAATTAGTAACTGTTGAGATATCATACAACTCATGCAAATTGTGCAACACCTTGTAATCTTAATAATTACTAAGTATTGAGATATCATGCAGGTTATGCAACCAATAATTAGAGTGTCAGAAGTCAGTCATTTAATTAGTTATTAGTATTTTGAACTTAATTAGTATTTTTCGCTTTTTGTAGTTTGTATACTTATGTTTTTTTTTTTTCATAATTGTTTTTATACTATATATATTTCTAAGTTGGTGATTCACTTAGCTAATCATGCAATGAGCTGGAATTTTTCGAATTGGAGCCTCAAACATTGGTTTTCTCAAGCGAGCTGCATGTTCCCATCACTCTGACCCCCACCCCCAATAAATGGTTGACAATAGCACGTATAATTATTTATTTATTCCAATTAGCTATAGACTTTTGTATGTTCGTACTTCTGATCACAAAATTTATAATAAGAATAAAACAAATTATTATATTTTCAATTAGTTAATACTATTATAGACCTTTTATACGTTGGGTTACTTTACTTTGATCACACAAATGATAATATAAATTAGAATTTATTTTTTTTCCCTTGGTCAAGTTTGTAATTCAGAAGTATGCACAGCAACTTTCAATAAATCCTTAAACTGAGCTAATCATACTATATGCTGGAATTTTTCGAATTCCAGACTCTACCATGGTTTTTCTCAAGGCAGCAGCACGCTCCCATCTCTCTGACCCAGCATAAATGGATGACAACAGGACATATCTGCCACAATGCTGTGGCTGCAATTCAAGCAGCCTTCTCCCCACTTCATTTGCCAACTCAATTGCTCCGTGAACCTTACAAGCACCCAAAAGAGCGCCAAGGACAGATGCATCGGGTTCAAACGGCATCCTTCTCATAAACTCAGTTGCTTCCCTCAAAAGCCCCGCTCTTCCCAGGAGATCAACCACACATCCATAATGCTCCATCTTCGGAACAACACCAAAATCACTTGACATCATTCGAAATAGTTCCAAACCCAACTCCACGAGTTTGGCACGAGCACAAGCAGTGAGAACAGCCACAAACGTGACCTCATTGGGGTGCAACCCTACCACCTTCATCTTCTCAAACATGTCCAAGGCTTGCTTCTCCATACCATTCAAAGCAAGCGAACAAATCATCGCATTCCAAGTGCATACTGCTTTGACTTCCATTTTCCTAAAAACTTTCATAGCATATCCTAAACAACCAGTTTTCCCATATAAAGCTATTAATGCTGTCCCCATAAAAATAGTCAATTCAATCTCGTTCTTGATAATGAACCCATGTATTTGCTTCCCTTGATACAATGCCTCTCCTCCATCCGAATTAGCACAAGAAGAAAGCACACTAACAAATGTAGCTTCATTGGGATCCTCGTGCGCCATCATTTTCTCAAAAAACTGAATTGCCTCCCGGAAGTACCCATTCCTCCCGTACCCATTAATTATACTCGTCCATGAAACAACGTCTCGGACAGGCATGTTCTTAAAGAGATAAAGAGCAGACCCCATGTCTCCATTTTTGCCAAAAGCGTCAAGCATTGCATTATACGATACGATACATGGCTCTGATATTTCTTCAAACACCTTATGTGCATCAGAGATACTGCCCAATTGAGCATACAAGTTAAGGAAGGATGTCTGTACAAAAGGGTCAGACGACACGCCGCGTTTGAGAGCTTGGGTGTGAAGGGGTATGCCTGTGATGGAAGCTAAAGAGGGTGAAGAAGAGGAGGCTTTGATGAGGGAAGGGAAGGTGTGATTGTTGGGCGGGGCTCGATGGGCAAGCATTTGAGTGAAGAGGAGGATGGTGTTGTGAGGTTTGCCAAGGTTGAGGTAGGCTCTGATTATAGTGTTGTAGAGGAGGGTGCTCATCCATTTCAAATTTGGTGGAGTTTTTGGAGTGTGGAGGAAGTGACCGTTGGTGATTATGAGGGAATGGATTTGTTTGACCTGGTTGGGGTGTCTGAAGAGGAATTTTTGAAGGAGTTGAAGTAGAAATTCAGGTGAGTAAGGCATACCAACTCATGACTTGCACGTGAACTTGGAAGAGTAGGAAATGGTTTTGATTTGGTTTGGTTTTTAGCCCGGAGCAGGATGGGCTTGAGGGTTTCGAACTTGGAAGGGTAGGAAATGGTTACAGAACTCTTAAAATAAAAAGAATAGGAAATTTTGATTTGGAAGCAATAATTTTACATGAAAAATATGCCCAATTTAGGATATCAATGATATTTTTCAATAATGATTATAGATTTTATATTATGAGAAGAAAAATGAATACATAATATATCCGAGTGTTAGTATCACATAATTCACTTACCATTGACATAACTCTCATTTAACTATTAAAATTTTTATTTAATGATCATTTATGGTCATACTACCATATGCATATCTTTCATTTCGAAATTGCTCTTTAGGGGATTAATATTTGTTATTATAATATCTAGAATACAAAATAAAGAGAAGGAAATATCATATTTGAAATAAAAGCTCCTTACATCCTTTTTATTTTTATTTTTATTTTTTTCCTTTTATGTACACCCATTATATCAGTTTTTGTTTTTTCGAGATAGAAAAATTACTTAACAGTTAAAAGTACTGTAATTATTAGGAACATTTCACATGGCTCCCGCGACAAGCCGGGAGAAAAGTACCAACTGCAGAAAGTCCAAACGACGGCGTTTAAGTCTACACAGAACGACTCATTGGTCACAAATTGGGCGCAAGCCACTCATGTCTGCAGATATAAAACCCTAGTGGTGGGGAAGTGTGTGGAAGTTATGGTCGCCTGTTGTTCCAGAATCTTCACAAACACACTCATCAAGTCCAGAGCTTTTGGCCTCGTACGGACGCTCTCTCCCTCCAATTCTCGCCTTCAGATTCGTTCGATGGCGGACTCTGCACTGTCCCAATTCAAGAAAGTCCAGATTCAGAGAGATGATACTGTGAGTTTTTCTCCGTCGATGTCACTGTGCTCTCAGTTCCTTTTCGTCCTATATGTTATATATAACTGTAGAAAGTATGTATGTATGTCTATTCTATTTCACTAGTTAGAAATTTCAAGTGAGGGTTATGTTTTTTTGCTGGAAGTTCTTATGTTGGGTGGATTGGCTCAGATGAGAGAGAAAATGCAAATTTTAGATAGAATTTTTATTTTATTTTTTGGTTTTGATCTATGGTAAGGTGTCTGGATCCCTGCTATAACGAATGACTGCTGTAAAAAATTTCAACGATAGACTCCATTTTCAATTCATTTGTGTAGATTTCATCACATTTGTTCCGTGGTGGCTAGTCGTCGCAACACTCCAAATTTGTGCAAAATAGTGTGGCCAAGTTTTAAATTTATAAAAAGCCACTACTAACTCTAACTACTAAATATAGCTAGGGTGAGTAGGGATCGTCCCAAGGGATTGTGGGCGTATTTGCAATGGAAACAATATATAGGGTTAGTAGTTCGAGTGATCAAAAGATTGTTTGGTTGATTAAACTACTAGCTAAAACTAAGCAAGTTCAATGTAAAACAAATAATAACAAATAAATGATAGAAGGAACAAGAGAGAGAGGTGTTGAGACTTAGAGGTCACCACTAAACATCACCTTTCTAGACACTTAATGTATAATTAATGAGGAAAAACATGTGTTACAATTCAAAAAAGTGTGATTAATTGAATCAACAAGCATGGATTGATTAATTAAGTATACTCAACAAGCATGGATTGACTAATTAAGTATACATTGTCTAGACAACCTAGTAAATAGCACAATATATCAAACTAAGTCGTTAATCCTTCTTTTAAGCTTACAATTAACACACTAACAAGTTAGAGAATAATACTACTTGCATTCATAAGTATGGAACATCAAACAACAAGCATGGATTGTCCTCCCATCTAAGAAACTAAGGCAACTACACTACAACTAAGCTAGGAATATGGAAATTAAACTAAGGGAGAGGCACAATCCATCAAGAAATGAGCATAAACCATCAAATAAACCACAAGAGTATTCTATTAAGCACCATGCCTTGACAAACTCTAGATCCATAGCATCAACACACATAGACATGCATCAACAACACAAAAACTAGAGATAAACACATGAACATTTATTCTAGCATACATAAACATATGAATTGAATAAAATGATCAATAGGAAGTATTAAACCACACAAATCATTGTATAAACAAGATTCATATATAAATCAAGTGTCAAGACAACATTACAACACAAATCCCCTCAAAATACAAAGCATTAAGGTCTAGAAGGCATGCTTAGGGCTAACTCTAGCCCCAAGAAGATGTTTAGCCACTCATTGATGTAGTCATCCAACCTTCAAGGGCCATCTCCATGATAGAAATGCTCTTCTCCTTGGTTGAAACCCTAGAAGAATGGAAGAACTCCCAAAATAGTGTGTCTCTAGTCTCTAGCCTTTTCTCCTCTCTTTTCTTAATCTCTAAGTATGTATGTGAATGAATGTTGCTCTTAAAATGGCTTCAAATCCTTATATAGGTAGCTTAAGTGTCACACCCAATGGTCTGGACTCGTGCCCTAGGGTCCCTTCAATGATTGCACCATGAGCCATCTTTTAATGAGCCGGACTTTGTTTTAATTCGGACTTGAGGAGGTTCGATCGATCGAGTTTAGATGAGATCGATCAAATTGTGGTCAGATCCATCGAAGTTAGGCCAGATCGATCAGTCTTTGGCAGCGCCTTTTTGGAATAAGACAAATCTGAGATATTTTTGGAATATTTTGGGAAAAAGACAAAAGTGGTAGGTGGGGATAAGATCAGGGAAGTTCGATCGATCTGAAGAAAGTTGGATCGATCGAAGATGGTGAATTCTTTTGGATAAGGACAAGGGGTCTGATTCATCTAGGTGACGTGAGATCGATCAATGTGAGATCGATCGAAAATATTCCTAATCGATAAAAGATTGCTGATTTCCACTACTTTGCTTCCACTTTGCTCTATTCTTCCATTCAGCTTGAGATTGCTTCTTTTATACTCTAATTTGGCTGAATTGACTTATTTTGGGGATAAGTACCTGAAAAGGGTAATAACATAAAATTAGTCTAAAACGGGAAAGTAAGATAGATAAAGGTCTTAGAATACTCGAGCTTAAGGGGTTTAAATGTGTACTTTTCAGCGTTCATCACAAGATTTCAATTATCTATAGAAATCTATAACAGATGTGTTGAAACTGGATTCAAGTACGTTGAAATCCCTTTTTAACATCATTATATTTTAGTTTCAAAGCACTTGAATCTTGATTCAACATATTTGTTCTATGTGTTGAAATCTAGAACAAATGTGTTAAACTGATTTTAAATGTGCAGATGACTCCTATGGTAACAGCCATGAACCACGAGACATGCCTTGCTTTATGGGTACACCATGAGTAGGCTCAATCATAAAATATGCATAGTCATATGAGCAAGAATGAGCTGAAATTTTTGACGTCGATGTGTTACATGCACATAGACACTTTTATATTATAGGCCAAGTAATGATCCGGAAAATTGAATTGGACTTACTAGATTGTGCCAAAGCCAATATAGTACATTGGTAAAAGAGAAATGATTATAGGACCGAAACATTAGGACAAAGTCTTTAACGGAGGGTGTTAGATCCGATGCACCTTGGTGGGATCCATCGATTAAACACTTCGTCTCATTGACTTCGGTCCATTTAACATTGCTCTTGGTAAAAAGTGATGGCATGACGTCTAAATGGTAGATGTGGAGTCGCAGACCACCCCCGCCCCCCGTCTCCTCCTCTCTTTTGCAGAAGCAAATAAGTACCTTTTATAATAACAATTAGAACCCAACCCCCACCCCCCCTCCTCTTTTGATGTGGCACTACTTTAGCTATGTAAAAAAAATCAAATGGTTGTATTAAAGTAACATTTTGATTATGGTTTATTGGAATCTCTTTTTATTTGCAGTTTTTGCACTTAGTTTATATCTACTAATGAATATTCATTATAATTTTAAGTTTTATTTGTTTTTGGGGAATGAACCAGACATTTGATGCATATGTGGTTGGCAAAGAAGATGCTCCCGGAATTGTTGTGCTTCAGGAGTGGTGGGGTGTTGATTTTGAGATCAAGAACCATGCTTTGAAGATTTCTGAATTTGATTCTGGCTTTAAAGCACTTATTCCCGAGTAAGATACATTTGTTTGGTGGAAAAATTCAGTTGTTATTTAGCTATATTTGAAGAAGGAAAATCAATTTTGGGCTGTTTTTGGATACTTAGTGATCTTTTTTTGTCACTTCAGTTTGTATCGGGGAAAAGTTGGTTTAGATGTTGCTGAAGCACAACATTTGATGGACGGTCTTGATTGGCAAGGTGCTGTAAAGGATATTCGTGCTTCCGCTAACTGGCTCAAGTCAAATGGTTCACAGAAGGTAGGTCAACTTTGATTTTATTCTTTTAATACAATTAAGTAATTCAATCCTCACTTTATTAAAATAATGATGTTGGTTACCAAAAAAAAAAAAAAAAATAGCACTTGTCATGGAATGTGGATCCTTTAAAGACGAAGCTTCAATTGACTTAGCTACACCCATTTAGATTTGTTGTTTGACAGCTCAACACTTAAAACCCTGAATAGCCAGAAATACGTAATCAATTATGGCAAAATACGTGATCAAATATTATTTGTTATAATGCTATTTTCAATTTGTTACAAGCTTGCATTTTTCAAAATGATCCGTTTAACATATGAATAGAAACTCGTGACCCCTATACCTTAACAACTAGTTTCTTATTATTTTGAACTTCTCCTTTTTGTCTCATATTTTAAAAATATTACAGTTGTCAAAGGATTTGGTTTTTTCCGAGAAGTAAATTCGTCAATTGATGGACTTCATGGGTTTGCTGCAATAGGTTGGTGTAACAGGATTTTGCATGGGTGGTGCTCTCTCTATTGCTAGTTCTGTTTTAGTCCCTGAGGTTGATGCTGTTGTAGCCTTCTATGGAGTTCCTTCATCTGAGCTTGCAGATCCTGCCCATGCTAAGGCTCCTGTCCAGGCTCATTTCGGGGAGCTCGATAATTTTGTTGGATTTTCAGATGTGACGGTATGGTTGATTGATTCTTATTGCTTTCGGGATCACTACTAGCATTTTTTATTATACCAAGTAATATCCTTATTAGTTTCTTAAGGCTATGTTCGGTTGCATGGAATTGAAGTCTTGGAATTGGAATTAGTGAAATTGGAGAAAAACAATTAAGAAAATTGAACCAAAATTTTCTCCATTTCTGCCAATTCCAATTTCAATTCCACGGCTCTAATTCCATGCAGCCTAACCAGTGTTGTTAAAGGCGCGCTCAGGCTTGCGCCTAAGCTTGAGGCTCAGGTTTAGCGCTTGTTGTCATCCGAGGCTAACTGATGTTTACTAGGCGTGTGCCTCGGTTGCATCTCATCTTGTTTGTGAGGTGCACCTAACTGATATTTGTTTAAAAAAATACGTTTGTTCTATTTCTTAAGCCAAAAAGGATACTTTTAGCAACTTAATAAACAAAAAAAAAAAAAGCCCAAGCATATTATAGAAGGAATTTTGTACAAAAGAATAAAAAAATAAGAAAGCCAAGTGTCAAAGTGTTAACCAAAGAGCGATAGAATGAGATTGTGAGACGAAGACGAAGACGAAGCCCTAGTTGCAGAGATGAACGACGAAGCCACGTCAGTTCTTTCTCTCTCTTTTTTCTCTCCTCTCCTCTAGATCTCCCCTCTTTTCTTATCTTTGTTTACATCTCTCCGTCTAGTTATCTTCTCTCTATGTCATTTTTTTTTTTTGGGCTCTGTTTTTTGTTTTCTTTTTTCTTGTTAATATATATATATATATATATATATATATATATATATATATATATGTTAACATATTTATTTCTTTTTGTGCTTTGTTTTGCCAATCAAAAAAACACATTTTGCTTTACCTTTCAACAAAACAAATTTGTGCTCTGTTTTATAGTTGTTGGATGCTTGTATAGTTGATGGATTTATTTTTTTATATTTGATATTAATTTTTAGAATATTGATATGACTTATGAGATATGAATGTTATTATGGTAGTTTAAATTTTCAATTGTGCGCCTCACTTCACTCAGTCGCGCACCTCGCGCCTAGGCTCCAAAGGACCTCTAGCGCCTTGGGCCTTTAATAACCACTGAGCCTAACACACCCTAAGTATATTTCTGTTGCCTTGTGATTGGATTTCATCATTCAAATATGGCTATAACTTAGTAAGTTCGTGATGTTCGATTGGTTCTCCGGTCATTCATTTAAACCGAGTACTGAATCCTAGATTGAACTGAGTTGGTCGGTTCTGTAATTTGTAGAACTGGGACCTATAGAACTTTTAACTGAAACCAAACCAACCCAACCCTCTGTTGCTTAGGTGCATGGATTCATTGGCACCTCTATTAAGAACCTGAAGGAACTACCTAACTATTTTGTAGATTCAATGCTCAAAGCTTAGCATCTGAAATCAAATCTTTGTCTAAAGGATCTCAAGCAGAATTTTAATATAACTAGTTTTTTCTGACTGTTAATGATTTCCGGACCATATGATGTGTATAAATTTCACAAGACGCAAAATCTCAAACTGAAGAGCCAAAATAAGAAGTTATATCGATAAAGACCTAGTTTGTAATGTTCTTGTGGGATTGCAGTTCGAGATTAGGATTTCAGATGAGAAACTTGTATATTTTACCAGAGTCACAGATTAAAGTATTTCAAATTCTTGCGAACAAAATCCCCAGCTTGTACCCCGGTAAGGCCCAGAAGATCAATTATCTAACCTTTTGGTGCTAAAATTAGCACAATTAGTGTTCCTATATGTGCCCTGCAAGCAACAACTCCTAGCCTGTGAAACTTCAGATGGTAGATTTGAAAGTTAGATAACTGCATCTGTTTCTAGTAAAATATGGCTGCACTCATAGGCGCAAGCTTCACGAAGGACCTAATATTTGTCTGAAAGCTCCATCATGATATTTGTGGGTTAGTCAATACTAAAACATAAAAATTCCCAACCACACTTCATCCTGAAAGGGCCTTGCTATTCTGACCAAGTATGGTAGCCTTCAAATTCCATGTCCAACTTGACATAAATTCCACAGTTCTATTGGACAAGATGATGTGAAGCACTTTTTCCTATTACTACAACAGTCAAATCAAAGTCTCAGCCCACAAGCCATATACATTTTTGTCATTCCGTACTTGCTAGCATGAAACGAGAATGCCTTTTCTTTTTCTTTTTTTTTTTCCTTTTCCATTTTCATTACTTTCGTGTACGTAGTATCTTACCTATGAAGCATCACAGATATAGTGATACAACAAATCTAAAAAAAAAATGGGGATAAGGTTATGGCAATAAAATAATATATTGTATTTTTATATATAAAAAAATTAATGTTCATAAATGGATTTGGCTTGACTTTCATAAGTGAAAATGAGGCCTCTCCATAAGCTACTACACAGTTAATATATCTCAACCATTGAATAATGTAATGTCGAAACTGGATGGCGATTGTCCCCCATGTTGAGGTCCCACCCAGCTGTCCCCTTAATTTGTCTTCACTAGGATAGTGTGCTGATTAAGCATCCGGCGGCAACATGGAATGCATGGTCAGCTAGCTCTTCAGGTAGGGCCGCTGATCCAAAATAATACATTTCTTCTTCTTCTTTTAGTATCGATTTGGATTTTAAGTTTAAACAATGAACTTTTTTAGTATTACAGTCAGATGCTTGTTTTTTATAAAGACATTTACAAATTTGCCGTGCCATTTCCCAGAAGTATCTTTCCATGTTCCATAAGTGTTCTACCATATCCCAGCCGTATCTGATTTGCAAAAACATATCTTAATATTCTGGATTCTTCCCAATTGTATAGGACATGTATCCGGGCTGTGTACAGTGCGTATCTGTGTCAGATGTATCGGATACTGTGACATTGATTGTGGAGAATTAGCCGTGCTTTCTAGTATTCTATTAGCTTCAGTTTAGAGTCTTCTTTATGTAGTGATAAAACGGGTTAATGAGTTTTACACCGTTGTTATGGGGGATATAAGCTATTTTAAGTTTTAAAAAGAACTGAAGCTGAAGTTAATAGTATATATGCATGATTAGATAAAATAATTCTGTTAACATTTACGGAAGAAAAAAAGCTTTGCATGTAAAGTGATTAAAAATTGGCCAAAGTGTGAGCATTTTATATACGTTGGAGAACTTGTGTTTAGGTTTGCAGGGAGAAATTTTGTAAAAATAAACATACATTAAGTTTGTAATGAACTAGACCAGTCCTGTTTAGGTGATGTTCTGATAAATTTATGAAGACTGAAAACTTTTAGTAAAATATTCCTTATCATTTAATTTTACACCAGTTATATTTATATTTACCTCAAGTAAGAGTGAGTAGACTTGCAAAAAAAAAAAAAAGAAAAAAAAGAAAAGAAAAGTAAGAGCGAGTAGACTAAAAATTTATTTTGTGCTTCATATAAAAGTAGTAGCTTATTATTATTAGCAAACTATTAGAGGTTAAACTTGAAGCACCTGGCTGAGATTGTGCTTATTGAATGTACTACAGGACATATAAATTTATTTATTTTTTATAAGTACTACAGAATGTATAAATCAAAAAACAAAAAGGAAGTGCAACCTTTTAATGGATGGATCTTCATGTGATTAACATACTAATAGAATGGTAGTGGTTCTATGGTTTTTAAGTGAACTTTGATGCACCTAAGACTGTTTCTATCAAATCTGGAATGTGAATGCGAGGAAGCTTAAAGGAATTGCGATCTTACTCAACCGTTATTTTGGGGCTTAAGTAGCTCCCAAGTCCCATCCATGGGCCTTGGGTTCTCTCTGACAACTTATTTTCTTGGTGCTTCAACACTCTTGTACATTTCCAGTTCTCTAGTGAAAGTGTATGGATGTTTATGTTGATTTTGCCAATTAATTTGGGTTTCAGGCTGCTAAAGCTTTGGAGGAAAAGCTGAAGGCCTCTGGAGTTCCATATGAGGTACACGTTTACCCAGGCAATGCTCACGCCTTTATGAATAGGTCTCCAGATGGTGTGAAAAGGAGGAAGGGTATGGGAATGGCTGATGACGATGAAGCTGCAGCTGAGCTGGCATGGTCTCGCTTCCGTTCATGGATGAATCGCTACTTGTCTCAGCAATATCTTTGATGCACCTGTTATATAACGCTTGCTATCTTAGTATAATAATCTGATATTTACTTATCCAAAAAAAAAAAACTGGTGTTTGATCTGGAGATATTGGAAGGACTGCCATATGGTGTAATTAAAGTGCGCGTGGATGCAACTCGGGGAATAAATTTTTAATGGTGATGAGATTTTTAGTATGAATTTTCATTGCCTTGTGAATGTAAATGTCCTTCAAGGATCTTCCATCTTTTGCACTATGTAGATGCAACCATTTATTCTCTTGTATATTAGGAGGTCCTGCTAATTTCCTGTGATGGACCATTAGGTGTTGATTGCTGAGATGTAGTTCTGCTCCAAAGCCATGGTTCGTTGTCTGGATTTGGCAGCGACAAGGTGTTCGAATGAGTTGAGAGAGTATAATGCATGGAAACTTATGGCCAACTTGTTTGAAATTCAGGTACCTGACAAATTTCTGGGAATTAGATTGCTTGTGAAGAAACCTTAAATTTCATTTTCCTTCAAGGGCCCCAAGCGAAGCACGTGGTCGGAGAAACGTGACTATCAAGAAATGGCGTATTGCTTGAGCTGCCTTCGTTTGATTGAATTAGAAGCTCAAGTCCCTCTTCATGGGTGAGCAGTCCTTATTTTATTGAATTGGTTGTTCTTTTCCATTTCCTTGTTTTCAACATGTCTATTATAATTAATTAATTATAGGTCTCTTGGTGGGGGCAAGCAAAGAATGGTGCAATGATCCAAACATTAAAATTGTGTAGTTATACTTATACATCACTGTTGTTGAAATTTTGTTTAAAGCTGGACTTTAGCGAATATTTTTATTCCCACTAATCTCCTCCAAGTCTTCGGTCATTTGAAGTCATCTTCGTTTAGTGGGAGTGTCTTCGATTCCTTGAAAATGAGAAGGAAGAAAAACTTTTTTTTGCTGAATAATTTTGATAGTTACTTCTGAGAAAAGTACTTTTATATCTACAAAGAAAGAAATTGGTAATTTCGTATTGTAATTACCAATTTCACAATTTTAATTAATGGCAGCTTGGTGAGAGTTGACTGTTATTACCAATGTTAGGTGATTGCTTGGAAAATAGAACTTGGGCTTAGCTATTTCGTTTTGCACGGTGAATCTGTCCTGCCCATTTTTGCCACTTAGGTCTATGGCTTCTATTTAGGGCTGCAAATGAATCTAGCCGCTTTAGAATTCTCATGAAATTGATTCAAATCAAACACTTCGTCCACTGGATCTGTTCCCGGGAGTACCCTCAAAAAAAGGAACCTTTCCTCTCCCCAGCCATTTCGGGTTAGGGAATTCAAAAAAGGACTTCAAGACGCAAGTACAATAAAAAAAAAGACGTTCAGTATGACTTTTGATTAAGACTGCAAATGAACCAAGCCCAGCTTGGGTCTATTCGGGCTCAGATTGGACTCTGTTGTATATCATGATGAGATCAAAAAGTTGAGCTTGAGTTTAACTCATCTGATAACAAAAGTTCTTTAGGCTCAATTTGGATTCGTGATCAAGATCATTTTGGTTTTTTTATGAACTTATATGAACCTACACAAGTCTATGTTTATGAGTTTATGTTCATGAAATTATACAAACTTATATTTATGAATGTATTTATAAGTCTTACAAGAGCCTATATTATTGAACATATAGGAGCCCAATCTAATATTATTTAAGATTGGTCCATTTACTAAACGACATAGAAATCAAATTTGAGTTTGGTTAATGAACAAGCATGTGTCGAGTCTTAAACTAAAGAAGTCTGAACCGTTCATGAATAACTCGTTTATTCTCTTAAGAGGCAGAACAATAGTTTTTTGAAGCAGCATCGGGAATGTTTTGGCATGACATATACCAAAGAAGAAAAAAAAAAACTTTAGGATTTGATTTTTATAGTTAAACCATAAAAAAAAAAAAGTTGAAGATGCATGTCGGATTAACAAGATCGATTGTGGAATTGAGCAGGATAAATCATATGATTCATACCATTAGCAGGATAAAAGGATTAAAAAACAAAAAAAGTACTACAAGTTGGTAAGGGTGACGAGAGATATATATATATATATATATATTATGGTTATAGGGATGGATTCTAATATTTTGGCTTGGTGAATCCAAATTTTGGTCTAATCCAATGTTTGTGTATCATGTGAATATATTTGTTTTCAATCATTTTCACTAATTTTGTCGTTGTTATATAAGGGTTCTCTTAGATTTCAACATTCGTCGTTGTCATATTGCCTTATCCAGCCTTATCCAGTTAACCTAGACTTAGAAGGCAACAATGAATGAAAAATGCTGACCGAAAGTTTATGCAGTTTTTGGTCTCATATACTCGCAAACCACGGTTGTGTGCTGGGTGAGAAGAGTGTGGATGCCGACCCTTTGGATGATGAAAAAAAGTCCTCCCAATCGTTGTTGCTTTCAACATTTTCGTTGGAGTGTAGTTTCTTAGAATTGGATGGCTCAGAATCGCGATAGGAAATTGATTATTACATTTTATGTTATTTAATTGCAATATAATGCTAAATTGTACTCTAATTCTATTGTGCTAACAATCTCGTGCAAATATATAACTTCGCTAAAGGATAAGACGATAGAAAAGAAAGTGACCTGTGTGTTGTTGAATTTTCAAAAATAGTTTATATTTTATCAAAGTTGTAAAAAAAATAGTATTTACCGACAAAAAGGAGTTGTAAAAAATAAAACATATTTTTTTTACTTTATTTTTATTATTATTATTTTTTCATGTTTTACTATTCTCAATATGCAAGAAAGATAAAGTGAAAAAATAAAAAAAATAAAAACTCCTATATAAAAAATGTATATTAAAAAAAAATGCATAAATTCCTTATATTTAAAAATATGTGCAAATTATCCTTTAGCGGTTACTTTTAACTTTTTTTTTTATTTTTTTATATTAAAACTTCAAAATACCTTTAATAATTAGTGTTCTTTGCTGGATTAATTACAAATACCACCCCCATGGCATATGTTTAGTGCGTACAATACCCTATTGGTTTAAAAATACCCCCTCCATTAATGATTTGGTTCAAATAGGTCCATTCCGGCCAACTACCGTTAACAGAACTAGTAAATGACTAAAATAACCTTGTTATGAAAAAAAAGGACACGGACCTTCCTCGACACACCCACTATACTCTTCTTCCTCCTCACGCCACCATTTGCGACCCACCCCACCATTTTATGTTTGTATCTATATAATGAGGACAAGGGCCCTTTGGGAGGAACTTTTTTGGAAACAAAAATCACGTGTTCAATAATTGCAACATGGGGATCGCAACATAAATTTTTTTCATGCCACTACCAAAAGCGAGCACGGAATTTTATCTCTGGTGTCTATGATTCACATAATCAGTGGGTGGTTGAGGCTCCATTGCTGCAAGAAGTGTTTTTGGCATATTTCCGAAATTTATATCAGTCTCAGGATTCCACTAATATCGAGCAGTTTTTACGTCATGTTCCATGTAGAATTTCAAACGTGATGAATTCTAGTCTTTTGGAGGTTTCGTCAGAATTGGAAGTGAAGCAGGCGGTGTTTTCGATGGCACCGATGAAAGCCCCAGGGCTTGATGGTATGACGCCATTTTTTTATCAAAAATATTGGGAGGTACTTAAATTTGATATTGTTAGTGCTATAATTGGTTTTTTTGAAACTGGGAATTTGTTATCTCAATTTAATCAAACTAATATTGTGTTGATTCCTAAAATTCCAACTCCCACGCTTGTTTCTCATTTTCGACCTATTTCCTTGTGTAATGTCTCTTATCGCATTATTGCGAAGGTTATGACAAATCGTTTGAAAGGGATTATTGGATCCCTTATCAGTGAATCCCAGAGTGCTTTTATTGCAGGTCATCATATCACAAATGATATTCTTATTACTCATGAGATATTGCATTATTTGAAGAATAAATGGAAGGGGCGCAATGCTTTTCTGGTACTGAAGTTGGATATATGTAAAGCTTATGATCGGGTTGAATGGGATTTTCTGTTTCACACGTTACATCGTTTGGGTATGAATTCCCGGTTGATTAAGATGATTTCTGCCAATGTTTCCACTGTGTCGTACTCTTTGAAATTTAATGAGGATTCTGTTGGGTTGTTTCATCTTTCTCGGGGATTGCATTAGGGGGATCAGCTTTCTCCGTATCTTTTTATTTTATGTGCTGAGGCTCTCTCTCTGTCTATTTTACGGGCTGAACAAGTGCTTTTGTTGTCTGGGGTGAAAATTTGCAGGGCTATTCCTTCAGTTTCTCATCTGTTCTTTGTCGATGATTCTATCATTTTCTGTGCAGCTATTGAATCTGAAGTCTGGTTCTTGCAACATCTTTTGGTTGATTATGAAAGGGCATCGGGACAACAAGTTAATTTTGCTAAATCATCGGTTTTTTTCTCCAAGAGCACTTCTCCTGCCAAGCGCCGTTTTTTCAATGAGTTATTGGGTTTGATGGTGGAAGGATTGCAGGCTCGTTATTTGGGTGTGCCAGCTATTATGGGCCGGTTTAAGCGGGATGTTTTTCAATTTTTGTTAGATCGGTTGCAAGACAGATTGTCTTCCTGGAAGACGAAAACATTATCTAGTGGTGGTAAGGAGGTGTTAATTAAGGCGGTGCTGAGTGCTTTGCCTACGTATGTTATGTCTTCTTTTCGGCTTCCTCGAAAGCTGTGTCTTGAATAATGAAACATGTTCGCTCCTTCTGGTGGTGCCCTAAAGGCAAGTCTCGTTCCATTCACTGGTTTCCTAGGAGTTGCTTTGTTGGAGTAAGAAATTGGGGGGGCTTGGCTTTAGGGATCTTGAGGCGTTTAATTTAGCCCTTTTGACCAAGCATGCTTGGAATTTTCAGGTACGGCAGTATGGTTTGGCTTTTGAACTTCTTAAGGCCAAGTATTTTCCTAATTCTTCATTTTTGGATGCTTGGCTGGGTTTTAATCCGTTTTGGGGTTGGCATAGTATTTGGTCCACTCAGCTTATTTTGCGTCATGGTTTGCGGTGGTTGGTTGGAAATGGCAAAACAATTCATATTTAGCAGGATCATTAGGTGTCTGATTTTCCGAATTTGCTTCCCCGACCCATGGGTGAGGTGCCTTTTCACTTGGTGGTGGATTTGTTTTGTCCTCAGTCGAGGGGATGGAAGGTGGATGTATTACGTCAGTTATTTTCTCCGTTGGTTGTTCAGAAAATTTTACGGTTGCATATTAGTCATTGGGATAAGTCGGATACTTTGATTTGGGCACCTGAGCAGAATGGGTCTTTTTCTGTTCGCTCTGCTTATGTTCTTGCACGGTCCTTTTACGATCAGTGCCCAGTTCCCTTGACCAATTTCTCTTGGCGTTCGGCTTGGCGGTGTAATACTCTTTCAAAGGTTCAACATTTTTTATGGCGGTGTTGTTATAATGCATTGCCTACTGGTGTGTCGTTGTTATTCCGGGGTTGTGTGGATTCCCCTCTGTGTCCTCGGTGTGGGGTGGAGGACGAATCGCTTGTTCATCTTTTTTTCTCGTGTTCTCATTTAGTGTAGGTCTGGAAGCTATCACCTTTTCATCTGGATTTTTCCACTTTGTCGTTTACTTCCTTTTTGGATGGCTGGCATTTTTTGTTGTTACGGGCGAATTCGTCACCAGATCCCTCCCTCCCTCTGGGTTTGATATTCTTCTGTGCTTGGTATATTTGGAAATCCCGCACTCATCAGGTGTTTGATGGTGTGTTATGGGATGCGGCGCAGGTGGTGGCTAAAGCGGTTGCTAGTTTTTGGGAGTTTCAGGAAGCTCGGTACCAATGTTCTCTCGTGGCCGCCCCTGTTCCTTCTCCTTCAGCCGGGTCTTGGATTCCACCTGTTGAAGGGCTGATTAAGTGTAACTTTGATGCTAGTTTTTCTCTAACGTCTTTCCGTGGCAGTGGTGGTGCTATGTTTCGTGATTGTCGAGGCCTTATTCTTCATGCGGTTGTCTTTCGGCCTTTCATTGCTTCTTCGGCTTCGATGGTTGAAGCGATTGCGTGTCATCGAGCTATTTTTTGGGATCTTCTTTTGGGTTGCGCTCTTTAAGTTTTGAATCCAACACCAAGGGTCTGGTTGAGTCGGTGCAGAATGTTTCGGTTTGCCCTTCTGAGATTGCTTCGGTTTGCTTTGATATCCGCATGGACCTTCAGTTTTTCGCCGTTGCTTCTTTGAAGCATGTTCGACGTTCAGCTAATAGGATGGCTCACGCTATTGCAATGTTGTCTAGACTTGCTTCTCCTATTGATTATGAGCTATTTCCAATCCCGCCTCAGATATCTGCTTTTGCTCGTTTGGATGCCTTGGGTCTGCCTTCGTAGTCTTTAGTTGTTTTTGGGTTTGGGTGGGCTGTGTGTTTTGTTGTTTGCTTTTCTCTTGGTTGTTCTGTTTGGTTTGTTTGGTGTAGTTCTTTGCCAGGCAAAAAAAAAAGAAAAAAAAAGAAAAAAGACCCTTTAGGAACAAGTAAAGGGCATTTTGGGCATTTAACGTTTCAGATTGCCACACGAGGAAGTGGTCAAGTTGTACTAAATTTTCAAATGTGGACTTATATATACCTTTACACGACTGGTAAATTATATGAGTCTTGTAGGCTTGTTTAGAAAAAAACTTTTTGTTGTAAAGAGTAACAAAAAAGGAAATCAAGTAAAAAATTTGGGTATCTAGCTGTCATTGAAAATTGTTATCAAGAAATTAAGAAAAAGGTTGAATTTCACCGTTAGAATTACGTTTTCTGATATTTGAATTTAATATTTTAATAAAAAAACATTTTAATGACTAAAATCATGGTGTCTCCACAATTTCTTTCTTTTCAGAGAATACATTGTAAAAAATAAATGTTACTGCACCAAAAAATCTAGATGTAATTCACTCCAATCTAATGACATATGTTCTAAGTTTTTCTTTCAGAGAATACAGATAGACACCTACAATATGGTTAGTGGGAGCAATTGCCTCGACTAATTTTTTTGTTTTTTAATATATTATTTATAATAGTGATTTTTTATTTTATTTTATTTTTTATATTTTTTTATTATATATCTATGAAATATTAACTTTGCTTCCTGAAATTATGCCCCCTCCTCCCCCAATTTCCTAGGTCCCTGAATGCAGTGGCAGAGACATGTAATGACGAAAATTATGACAAACATGTCCATTGTGTTTTGAAAATCTATATATTACCAAAACACATGTGATAGATACTAGTAATTTTTTAAAAATTGGAAGAAATTAGACCACTTATTTTCTAAAAATACAAGGGTGTAATAAAGGTTGTACTCAAGTGATATTTTTTAAACTTTTCAAAGTTAAAAGGTTAAATTTTTAAGTTTACGGAGGAGCACTGTATTATTATAACTCAAAAAAAGCAAAAGATAAAGAAAAAGATAAAAATAAATTACACTTACACCTCTTATAATTCGGTCTATTACACACAGCTATTGAAATAGGCTTTAATTATGTTAAATTTTTTTGGCGGTCCTACGGACTTGTTAATGGGAGGGTTCATTGAGCAAACACACCTAATCCGAGGGGTATATGGTGTCATTAGAGCCCAATGTAATTAAGCCTAACCTCACGTGTATGAGTGTACTTTACTAAAAATAAAAACACGAGGTCGGCAGCTCTATCGTACATGGCTCTAGTTATAGTGTTGTGAACACAACAGCCACGAAACCTATAGAAAACAAGATATGATGAATTTGAGAGGTTACAAGAGAGCTAGATGGTCCAACTCATTCTTTTGGACTGCTTACTAACTTTTGAGTTTGGTCCAAACCTCTCCTCAATTTGCTTTAAAATCAAATGGACCATGGTTGGCCACGAGGACAGAGACTGTGAGGGTCACATGTTTTTGTGAATTACTAACTTGGACTCAAAATTTCAAAAAGATGGTTGATTGGAGTGAAAAAGAGCCAAAAATTCAATAGAGTACGTAATGTTGGACTCAAAATGAAATACCATCTTTAACTTGCATTAATGAGAAGTTTGACTGAGAGAGAAAAAAAAACAAAAAGGTTTACATTGAACACAGACGCTGCATGAATTTGCATCCTTTAAGTAAAGTCATACATAAGCCTGTGCCTAGTCCCCCACTTGCTCTCAGCAACTTGAATTCATGACCAACACCATCTAATTAATTATGGAGTGTATGGCTTGACTAGTTTCCCGAATATAATAATGATCCAATTTTTTGTCTGTTGGATGATGTGAGTCTCACAATAAAGTCAATTTAAGATATCCCATCATGTACTTACCATTCCTAGTTGCAAGGGAGACAACCAATCAGCATTTGCGGCTTAACAGTCTCATTTGGGAAGATGGCAAGGAATTATTAATTGCTAGACCATATTGGAGAGTATAGACAATTTTAAGGGAGACAACCAATCCGCTATTCTAGGTTCAAACTCTCTACCCCCTTCTCCTTGGGAGGTTGAGCGTTCGAGTTCCTAGTTGGAGCAAAATATATAGCAAGTGTGTGTTTGCTGTATATAAAGGAAACCTTAAAAAATGCAAATACTTTGAACATTCAAAATGCAATTTGAAATGAGAAATGATCATACCATGACTAGAGACCTTTTAATTTCAGGTGTTTCTTTAGATTTATTGACTTTCTAATTTTTATTGCTGGTAAAAGTGCTCCATATTTATCAAGGTATTTTTTTATTTTATTTTTTGGCAAGGACCAAAGTACTATTCTTATATAAAGCCTCTACAAAATATAATTATGATTATAATGTTTGGTTTATAATATTTCTCTTTTCTTGGTGTGAAAGAAGAAAAATATTACGATCTAAACGAAAATAATGCTTGAATAAATTGAAATTCGAAAAGTTTTAAGAAAGGATAATATTGGTATTGAAAGCGTCAGGAGTAAGTATTTTATAATTTAGGACCAATATCAACTCCCATTTTGTTTTTGATAATGGGTAGTTGGTTGAGAATCAAATCTTCTTGAAAATCAGTAATTACACATGGGTGACGACTAAGCTTAACTTAGGATTTGATTGTTTTGATTATTTGTTGAAAATGTAAAGTGTCTTTAATAGTAAATTGGTCCCTATGATGCTACCAACATGAATGGATCACCACATAAATTTTTATAAGTGGACTAACAAATCATGTCATTGACCACCGATCCTCCACCATTTTACGCTACCATGTACTGATTTGTCAAATTATATTGAACTATATATGTAACTAATTATATGACAATAATTATTATTAAATGAACTCATCAAAGAATTTAGTCCAAAGCTTATAATCAACACAATTATTTTCAATTATGTTGAGTAAAAATTAAGTTTTCTTATATAGAGATGCGCATTGACACGTATCTTTTAAAAAATATACGTTGTAGTTATGTTTCGGAGCACGAAATTAATTGTTTAAATTTTAAATTAAAAAAAAATTAGTTAAAATTTTAAATTAGTTTTCTTTTAATCCCAAAACATATAAGGAAAATTTGTTGCAATGTTAACACAACTGTGATATACTCTGAGACGTTTCTTTTTAAGTTATAGTTCTCATGTTAGATTTTCAACCATAAAAACTGAATTTTTTGGTCTTTGGTCAAGTTACATTAAGAAATTCAAAAAAAATAATAATAAATCAGTTTTATGGTTGAAAATCTAACAATACCAAATCTTTACCCTTCAAAAAGAGATCACGAATTCAAATCTATTTAGAGATACGGGTGTGTGAATATCACCAATTAAGAATAAATAAATAAATAAATAAATTCACAAAACTATAGGACAAAATAAATGCATTTGTCAAAATCAAAATGTGAAATGACTAGAGTACCCCTGAACGGGACAAGTATACCACCACCACCCATTTAGTCCATAAGGAGTAACTTGCGCACTGAATGGACCAGAACCCCCATCACATGGTTGGAGATGACTCAAAAGCTTGTCCTTCAGAGGGAGAAGGAAAATATTCAGGAGTTAAATGAGGGACAAGTTTGCAGTTAGGTTGACACTGAATGATGGGTTTCACCTTTATTCATATAATAAATGTATATGTGTATATATATATATATTTTATTATGTAATTAAATATATATAACTATGACCAAAAGGATAGCAAAGATCTACACCAAAAGTATCTCTCTTTCTGATTGGTTAACCAATAGACTTCTACTACTTTTCTTTCTTTCACTGAAACGACTTTGAACGTTGAGAGAGAGAGATCCATTTGAACTTTGAGAAAAGCTATACATTATTGCATTGATAACGTATTTTTTTATATGAAACATATAGTTTAATAAATTTAGTAAATAAAAACAGGAAGTGTTGAAAACGATGCATTAAATTAGGGTTTTACTCATACACGTTGGTACCTCACTTGCAACATGAAAAATCAAATCTGTGTGAAAAGTATCTTTTCTTCTTCCATGCTGTCTCCTAACTGTATTATTTATTAAATTACAACTCCTCTAGTCCAAGGTCTACAGTCTTCTCTTGTTACAAAGTCTCTAGGTGTTTTGCTCTTTTTTTATTTTTTATTTTTCTCAAATGCGTCAGTTTATATATATATATATATATATATATATATTGAGATTTATTTTCAATGTATGATCAAGTGTTTTTTTTTTTTTTTTAATTAATCACAGTATCCCAGTCTTCTTTGCCACAATATTTTAAGTATTAGTCATTCCTTGACGCCATTTTACATATGGTGTAGTATTTTGACTAAATAATTCGAGACCGTCTAGTCCAACAACTTATTGTAATAATGCAACTAAAATAAATTAAATTTGTCCACGCTAGTGTTCTCTTTCATAATTATTGTCAAATTTATTTAATCGAATTAACTACTTACTTAGATGATTTATCATTTTCTGTAGATATATATATATATATATATATATATTGAGAGGAATAATTAGGCAAATGTTGACAATGGGCAGCAGAATTAATTTTCTCCTTGCTTAGTCTTTATAATTTGGTGAGGATTTGGTTTACTAAACTTCCACGCATCCAATGTGGCCGCAATTGGTAGTGTGTGTGTATGTGTGTGAAAAGATGTGAAAAGAAAATAGCCTTGTAGATCCATTGAATTTTTTTTAAAATTATTTTTAAGTTCATGCACAAAGAGAGATCGAGCTAGCACACAATTGTGAAATGAAAGATGAAAAGTGAGAGAAGTTGCATGGAGATTGGCTTTTTGAGAGAAAAGAGCATTTAATGAAAGTTTGTGTTGTGAGACCAAGTGCCCAACCATGGAAAACATGTGTTACTCATTTAATGTGAAAGCAACGAATTCAAACAATTGAGTCTTAGTATGTGCCATTGCCAAGTTCTATTTGGAATCCAGCCAGATCATTACACATAAATTCAAATGAGCAGCCATGAATAATATGCAAGAGGACCGAAGATTGATTCACGAAGATATTGCGTATTTTTATATAAATACGTGTGTGTGTGTGTATATATATATATATATCTCAGTGATCTCTTGCTCACAGTGAAACAAGTGAATTTATCGACACCGTTTATAATGATTATTCAATTTAATGTAATGGTCACAGTCTAAATCTACCCATCTCATATGGCATTTATTAGGAGTGAGCAAATAATCTGCGAATTCGATTCGATCCGTGCGAATTGAATTGGATTATTACACACACGGATTAGTGACGGATTTTTAAAAAAATCAAATTCGTAACTCACGGATTGGATTACGAATTGGACTGTTAAAAATTCGATCCGATCCGATCTATGAAATATATATATATTCAAATAATATATTAATTAATTTAATTAGTTAATGATAATTTTAAATATATGAATTAATATTAATAAATTAAATTTTTATGTATTGGGTTAGGATTAAATGAAAAATAAATAATATTACTTATTAAAATAAAAATAAAAATAATAATGAATAATTTAGATAAAACCCAATCCGAGGATCCAATCCGATCTAATCCGTTATTACACGGGTCAGATTCGATCCGAGGGATAATAGATGGATTAAACCTAATCTGTTGCGAGCGGATCGGATTAGAATTGATCCTAACTAATTCGATCCGTGGCCACCCCTAATAGTTATCTCTTGATCACTGTGTAACAAGTGAATTTATCCACACTTTTTATAATGATCATTAAATTTAATCTAATAGTTGCATTCCCAATACACCAATCTCATTTTCATTTATTCCAAAACCACACTCCCCCAATGTGTGTGTGTGTGTGTGTGTGTGTGTGTTGGGGGGGGGGGGGGGGGGGATATTGAATCATGTTACTGTTACAACATTTTACTACTAGTAGGAGGGTTTTTTATAAGGAGCCAAAAACACCTTGATTCTTCTCCCAATTCCTTAACGCTTGCTAAAAAGATGAAAAGCCATTCTTTACAAAGTACAATAGTACTTAGATAGTCGATGCAATAAATTATACCTAGACCTATTACCAAATCTAAAGTATAAAACTTTTAGCAATGTAGTTAGTTCTTTAAATTTTGTCGACGAAGATAAAATTTATAGTTATTATGCCATATTTGAATTCTCAATGTTTTTGTTCTAGAAAAGAATAATTATTAAATTTTTTTTCAAAGATTATTTCAATAAGATTCGAATTCTTAATTGTTGTGAAATTAAACAAATAAGATAGAACAGATCAAATACACAAATTTTTATTTGATTCACCAAAAATTAACAACCTAATAGGTGTTTAAATTACTAAAAGACCCTTAAAAAAATACAAATAGTAGTTGGGTTACAAAGAAAATAATGTGGTCCAAGTCGAGGAGGAAGCAGTCAACCTGTCACCGACGGAGGGAAAGGATTGGGAAGCATTACCAAAACTACGTGTCCGGGTCAAATGGGGGGAGTAGTTGGGCCCACAAGTCGTCATCGGCCCACCCGGTCCCAATAATTCGTTGACTTGGGGGACCTTTTCGTTTTGTTTTTTTATCGCGGGGAAGTGCCGGGCCAATTGGGGCGGTGATTTTTTTGGAACGCGTCAATTTTTGCTTTGACAATACACGGACCCAATCAATTCATTCAATGCCCAAGCCCAAACCCATATCTCTCTCTCTCTCTCTCCTCTCTCTCTCTCTCTCTCTCACTCACTCACATGGGCCTACCCTACGAGGTGGTCCTACAGCCAGCTGACACTCTGATAATGAGCCATCCCAATCTCACGGCCTTCACTTGTGCTCAGGATCTCACTCTGTGTGCCGATGCTCATTGTATTTCAAGCATGACTATGGCCCACCACTTTTCATATATATCTATATAGAGATATTTGGTTGTCGAAGGAGAAAAAATGGTGTGATTGCAAGAGTGTGACAAAAAATATATATATTTGTGGAAACTGGAATGTTTGCATAATTATAAACTTTAAACGAACCTCTTTTATTCCTAATGTGGACATTGTGGTGTTGTTTGTCTTGGATTAACATATTTTTTATTTTTAATTTCTAATAAATTATTTTACACGTTTCATTAGATGAATTCAATCTTAAATTCGATCTAAACATTTATCAAATACAAATATATATATATATATATATATATATATATATTACCTGAAAAAAAAATTTAAAAAAAAATATTTTACGTTCCAAACAAACAAAGTCAGTGTGTAAGTATATTTACTTATATACAAGAAAAAAATTGGCCTGCTAAAAAATGCTAGGGCTTCACTCCACACCAAGGAAAAAGCGAAGTCCACTATGTCAATTTTCATTTTCATTTTTATCTTTTTATGAGGGTTTGGGTGATATACTATATATACATTCGTTCTAATCAGAAATTATACATATAAAGCATACTTCTAATAATTAGTTAATTCCTAAATTTACAACTGCAGGTCTATAAAAGTAAATTGGTATTTAATTAAATCAACACCTAGAATAAGGCTCAATAGTCAATATTCTGTCATTTTAACAACTTGACATGGAAAAAGTTTTAAAGGATAAGATCGATATATATGTATATATATATGAGAAATAGATTGTTACAATTATATACGCAAAACATATTTGATACAATATTTAGGTGTATTGAGCTTCATGGTATATCTTTTATTTTTTTTTTTTGTTATAATATTTAGACTAAATATTTTATAAAAAATGATGATGATGATAATTGTTCACAAGTAAAAAAATTTAACATTAATATAAGATTGAGATATTTTTTCTTCAATCATAGTGTTTGGGGTTTTGTCTCCAATTAATCCTCTCATGTAAGGCGCTCTAACCTCATAAATTTTAGATGAGATTGAGACTTGTCCCTACTCTATCATTTGGATTGATTTCAATTACGTTTGTTTGCTCTTTCTTTTTTTTTTTTTTTCTTTTTTTTAACTATAATAATTAAAAGCTTTAATTTTTGCAATAATAATATTTTATGTTCTTTAAAAAAATGATTAATATGACATGTTGACAGGGCAAGGTCTAGTCAGTAACATAAACTAGACCACAAGAAGTTAATAAAAGGACTAGATCAGAGATGAGGCAGAGACTTATTAGTTTCTCCCAGATCAAATCCCATCATTTTCTCTTCAAACTAATCCCAGAAACTCCACACACTACTTGTATTTGGTCTTCTTCTCAAGTCTCATACCCTTTTTAATAGCCTAGTCTACTGCACCGTTAAGACTTCAAACCTCTTCCCTTCTCTCTCTCTCTCTCTCTCTCTCTCTCTCTCTACACACACTTTCTCTCTCTATATTTACTTGCTTGATCTATATGGCCAAAGGAAGTGGACTCTCCATTGATTCAGATCGGATCGGATTGTTTCTGCACAAACCACCAAGTGTGATCAATTCATTTTCTGACCACCACAACAACAACAATAACCACCACCACCACCACCCCAAGTGGAAGCTCGAACCCATGGAAACCACGGGCAACAGGTCATCTCCGGCTTCCTCTATCCAATTTCCGGTAAACCTCAACTGCACCCACCATCAGGACGTTCCGGAGCCGTCTGATGTAAAACGGACGGTGATGGATGAGATGGACTTCTTCGCTGATAAGAAACCTGATCGTGATGACTCCAAGGGAGCCACCACCACCACCGACGCCGATAAAAAAGAATTTAATGAACCGACAGAAATGGATTTCAACGTTAACGTAAGCTTTCTACCCACTTCATTTCATTTCATTTCATTTCATTTCTTTTCTTTTTAATTCATCACATATATACATATATATATATACAAATATGCATATACTTGTATAAATTATTGAATTTTGTTTGAATTCTTAAAATTTATGTAGACTGGATTGCACCTTCTCACTGCTAACACTAGTAGCGATCAATCAATGGTGGACGATGGCACATCGGTGAATTCTGAAGATAAAAGAGCTAAAAATGAGGTAAGAACATTAGTCCTTGTGTAGTTTTTATTCATATATTGAGTATCATATTGTGACGTCTGAGAGAAAAGTTGCTAACACTTGTACGCATACGAACATACACACACATAAGGCTTTCAGTACTAATTACATACATGGGTTAGTTTACAATTTTATTGAATTCCATCAATTACAGTAAGATTAGAGTTGAATTGAAACTAGATAGTTAATTATACATAATTTAATGGATAGATTTTACATGTTTTAGCTGGTGGTTCTTCAAGCCGAGCTGGGACGGGTGAAAACGGAGAATGATCGATTAAGGGACATGCTGAGTCAAGTCACCAGCAACTACAACACACTTCAGATGCATCTGATGACTATGATGCAACAGCAAGATCATGATAAGAAAGGTAGTGATGGTCATGCCACTAGAGAAGATGATGATCATCGAATGGAAGAAACTAAACAAAATGTTAATAAGGGAGGAGTAGTTGTGCCAAGAAAGTTCATGGATCTTGGGCTAGCTGCTGTAGCTGATACCGATGAGCCTTCGCTTTCTTCGTCGGAAGGACGGAGCGTTGAGCAGTCGCCGGTAATTCATGCAGAGGCGGCAGTGGTGTCTAAGGGTGGTTTGTATGATAATCAGAAGAAGGAATATGGTGGAAGAGAGGATAGTCCAGATAATGGGTCACAAGGTTGGGGTCCTAACAAGGTTCCTAGAATGAATGCTCCCAAAGATGGCGATCAAGCAAATGAGGCCACCATGAGGAAAGCCCGAGTCACGGTTAGAGCCCGGTCGGAGGCACCCATGGTACGTAGACAATTTGATTGAATTGAAATTCATTTTTGTGAATTTGATTTGTAAATTTTATTTAATTTTGGTTGAATTAATTGGAAAATTTGTTGGTGATAGATCAGTGATGGATGCCAATGGAGAAAGTACGGGCAAAAGATGGCGAAAGGGAACCCATGTCCTCGAGCCTATTATCGTTGCACCATGGCCGCTGGTTGTCCAGTTCGAAAACAAGTATGTATTTCACTTAATTTTTCACTATTTGATTTCAAGAAAAGCTTGTTTTTCTGCTGAATTTATTATTTTCAAGCCTTTTTCATTTACAACCTTCTTCATAAAAAAAATGTAAAAGTCACACGCTCATTTTTTTTTTTTTTTTTTTTTTTTTTTTTTTTAATTGTTGATATATATAACACAATTTTTTAACATATATTCACAATTTCCAAACATTAAGATCAATTACTTAAATGGGTATCAAAATAATTTTGAACAAACAGTTGTAAAATAAATTCGCCTATTCTACTTACCCAAAAATTAAAAATAAATAAATATATCCCATGTTCTAACCTGAATTATGTTCAACTAATAGGTGCAAAGATGTGCAGAAGATAGAACCATCCTGATTACCACATATGAAGGCAATCACAACCACCCACTGCCTCCAGCCGCCATGGCAATGGCATCAACAACATCTTCCGCGGCGCAAATGCTGCTCTCCGGTTCCATGCCAAGCGCAGACGGCTTAATGAACCCCAATTTCCTAGCAAGAACCCTCCTCCCAGCTTGTTCATCAAGCATGGCCACAATCTCAGCTTCAGCTCCATTTCCCACTGTTACATTAGACCTCACCCAAACTCCCAACCCATTACAGTTCCAAAGGCCACCAAACCAATTCAATGTCCCCTTCCCAAACCCATCTCAGAACTTCTCCGCCGCGACACCATCAGCTCTACTACCTCAGATTTTTGGTCAGGCTCTATATAACCAATCGAAATTCTCTCCCCTTCACATGCCAGGCCAGGATAAGGAGGCTGCAGCCCAATTAGGCCAACAATTGACAACGTCGTCGTCGCTGCCACCATTGCACCAAACGACGCAGCAGAACTCGTTGGCTGACACCGTCACTGCCATCACCGCCGATCCAAGTTTTACTGCCGCTTTAGCTGCAGCCATCACCTCTATCATCGGCGGAGGTGGTAATCCGAATAATAGCACCAATATGAACACCACCACCAGCAACAACAATAGCAATGGCAACAATAAAGTCATGAGCAATACAAATTTTCCTGGAAAATGAATTTGGGTTTTTTTTTTTTTCTTTCATAATTTGGGTTTTTTTGTTCCTTTAACTTCTATTATGGGTTGGAAAGTGAGATTATTGTATACAAATATTCTTTCATGTTTGAATAATGTGATGATCCAAATTGTCAGTCAACATACGAGAAATGGGTTTGGTACGGACATGGAGAATTGGAGTGATGGTGTAATTATAGTAATGTTTGGTTTTTTTGTCAATGTTCTTTGTATTTGTCTGCATGAAGCCAAAAAACGAGGAAGAAAGTAACAAAGAAAGAGATAAAGTAACGGATGGAAATATTCTTTTCTTGGAGTTTTATTTTTATTTTTGGGTGAATAAATATATTCTTTTCTTTGGAGTTACATCGAGAGTGGTCAACAAAACCGTCTCAAAGGAGCTATAAATTGAGGGAATTGTTTGACAGGCGGGAGAGAGGGAGAGATTTGTTTGCTTCCTTGGTTTGTCTTATTTGATTATGTCTTTTACCTTTTGGCCCATACGCTTGACCTAGATCGTTGGAGATATTCACACGACTACGTCCCATTTGTGGTCCATTATTTATGCCCAAGTTAGTTGGTATGAATATTAATTATTTAATTGTTTCATAAAAAGTGTTATATTTAAAAAATTATAAGTCATAATTTATATATATATATATATTTTATTTTAATAATTAATCCTAATATAAATTTATTTATGTAAATTCAATAGTATAGCAGCATCATATTATACTGCATTGAACCATCATTATGACCATTCCATGTAAATAATCGTGGTCATTACGCTACTTAAACAACACGCGTGGTATATTACAGAAAATCTGGACCTTGTTATTTATTTGTAATTTTTAATAAAGCCTTGTATATTTATTCTCTCTCATGCCTGTGAAGATCAATAATTCTACCAAAAACCTTATTTTCTGTGTCCTACATAATTTTCGCACGTGTTCTCTCTCTCATATTCAAGGCGGCCATGCATTGATCAAGTTCCTGTCACTTTTCCTGTAAAATCACGTTTGTCTCTAATCTTCTCTTTTTAGTACTCACCGGGACACACACACACACACACATATATATATATCTTGAAATGTCCTGGAAGATTGTTGGTCCCTGGATATGAGTGTACATAAATGCTGTTTGGATATCTCATTCTCATCTCTCTCTTATGGAGAGTTGAGAAGGTTGTGGAGATACGATCATACGGACACTTTTATCATAGTGTTATTTTGGTTTTTTACACAAATTAATTGTAAGACTGGTGTTATTGCAAATAATCTCATGTGTTCAAGAATTGTATTTGAAGATCATTAAAATAGAAAATATTAACTAGATCTTCAATTGTGCATGCCTGTCAACTAACAAAAGTTAGCCACGTTAGAACTTAGAATTTGAGTTAACCAGGTGGTGCAATGAAGGTTGATTTTGATGAAGTTTGAACACATCAACTCAGCTAAACTTGAATTAAAATAAATTCTTTTCTTTTGGGGGGTCAATAATAGTAGTATCAGTTTTTTAGTACTCTAAAATCTATCACCAGCACATACAGTCCCGCTCCAAAAAAATCCTAAGGACCTTAACCTGCTGAAATATGTTATAAGAAAAATGTTTTATTCCAAAACAAACAGCCTAAAAATAAATTGAAAATTTGTCAATTTAGACTTTATTCAAGTTGTAAAGAAACAGAGAGTGTTGGGCTTAAATCCGACCCAAAATATAGCACTAGGCCCATAAAATCACTGTTCTTAATGGGTCTATAATTGGTGGAATATTGACCCATTTACCACTAAGAGTTTATTCACGAGTTCATCAATGCAACCTTTAAATATTGGAGCCAAGTACACCCACCAACTTCATTCAAAGGCCCAGTTGTCTCTCACAGTTGGAATGAGTTTGCATATTCAAAGCTTCGCTTCAATATCTACAGCTAGCTACCTAAGTGCTCTTTCACATCTAATGAAACAACTTGTTGTAGCATTAAATTTTACCATAATGAAGAGGACTAAGTAAGTGTTTGGATCTTTTAGCAATTAAGGCTACATTTCTAGTTGAGGATGATTCCGAATATCGAGTGATCCAAACGGTGAAGTTAAATAAGGTTGGCCTACACAGAAACTCATGGAAATAATGTGAATTTATGTGGTGTTAGCTATCTTTTAATTTGACAACAATGCCTTCAAGGAGTACAACTTTTGTTGAAAATTTAGCTGAGGATTATTTGGTACGGTTTTTGGACGGCCCCAATACGATCTGGACCGGTCAGAATAGTATAGGAATCACTATTGTACAGCAAAGGATTCACCTATTATATAATGCACGTATTCATCATTTGTTGTTCTAATAGATCTTGAAATGTCGATCTCTGTATTCTTAATTTCTCATATCGTTACGACAACTTGACACGATATGTTACAATTCCATTTACAATGAGTTCATTAGACTGTTTTAAATTTGACAATTTATTGGGATAAATTTGTGCCTAATAGATGATGATTTGATTGGGAGGACAAGAACACCGTCAATAGATAGGAGTCACGGCAAGTGTGACAGTTGATAATTCTTGTGACCAATGTTCTAATAGTTGTGTCCGATAAGCAACATTTGAGCGCATAGATGATAGTTTGATTAGGAAACAAAAAAAATCGATTCAATGAATGAGGTTTCGTAGTCACAATAGTCATACCACAAACTTTTTGGTATAGACCTTTCTATAATCTTTTTATATTCAACTATACAAGGTAGGTCATATCATGATTCACAGTATTGGTTGCAATTGCGGTGTAATAAATTCGGACAAAATTAATGTAAACTGGTCGAATCGGCCGGTATGGAACCCTTAAAAAAGAATCGTATATCGACCAATGCAGTGAACCATGGATCATATACGGTAGATATTTTGATATTAATCTTTATATATACAGGTTGGAGAATTGTCAAGTGTTAATATAACATTCAATACAAATTTTCGTTGAGTGGTGTTACTTAAATTGAAAAATTAGGCAGAAATTCTTAACCTAATGAGTCATCGTTACTACTCTTCGGACTTCAAAAGCATTTTCCATTTTGGTTTGATTGGGACAGACTTGAAATTACATCAAGTTTCAAATCAGTCCGTTAATTGAGATGATGAGCAAACTCACCCCGGTGTAAAACTTCACCAGCAATCTGTTCACCCATCTATTTCTTTGGTGCAAAGTGCAACTTATAACACACTAATACAATTATTAATTCACATGTCAACATCAACATTGGCAATGGCGCACAAAAAATTTACTCAAAAAAAAGAAATAATAATAATAATAATTCATTTTTCATATCCAATCATTAATAAACAGAGCAGATGTAGAATGGGGCTTAAAAAAAAAAAAAAAACCTTTTGATTAGAACTCAAATTTCATAACGGAAAGTCGAAGCAAAGACAAATATGCAGACTTTTGTGACCGTCGTCGGCTTATAAACCACCGTCTCATCATGGCAATTGGCAAAGCAAAACCCTCATTTTCGTAGCTGAAAAGACAAAACTGTTTACAGTTACGCCATATGTGTCACGTGGTCCTCATGCCACCGACGTTTCGTGCGTGGCCTCTACCACTTTTCCAATCCTTTTGAGAAATTAATCCATCTTACAAACTACTACTTGATTAAAGGCTTATACATACATAATTACATTTATGTATATGTGTATATATATATATATATATATGTATGTATATACATGTAATACTGATACACATTAGGTAGAAAGGGTTGACCAAGTTGTCAATTAAGAATTTAAGGCTTATAACAGTCATAAATGATTTTTTCCGTGCAAGCGTACACACGTAAGTCATTAATTAGATTATTAAATGGTTTAGACTATAGTAATGTACTGTGCATTAAGAGTTGGTGGAACAGATGAGTTTTGCAAGAAAATTTCAATTTCAATTTCAATTTTATTGAGTCAGAATTTCCAAAAAATTAAGAGAAGACTCGATTTGGAATAGGAGGAATTTTAATTTATTTTTTTCCTAAATAATACTCACACTCTTTTCTAAGAATTGTTTACAATTTTAATTTAAACTCTCAAACATAGCATCGAATAAAAGTCATTAATTTTTCATATTTAACTTTTAACATATATAAAAATTAAAAAATTATCATGATTACATTTGGAACAAATCATTCTTATTATTAGAGAACCCTATGATAACATTGGGTAGAAATCAATTAGGTTGCAGTTAGAAAGCTATGTTTACAATTAATTTACTAAGGTTATGTATATGTTCGGTTGTATGTAATTGGAGTTTTGAAATTAGATTTGAAAAAAAAAATAACTTAGAAAATTAAATCAAATTTTCTTTAATTCTACCGATTTAAATTCTAAGACTCTAATTCCATACAATCAAACACACTCTAAATGCATTTATATAAACCGCAAGAAGTTGGCGAAGCCCTAACACCAACACCAACAACAAGTAATTCACCAACTTGGGTAGTGGAGGATAATCGAATCCACACTCGGTACATTGGATACTGTCCATCTAGTCACTGAAGACTGTCTTACTATCCAATTACGCTACACCCATGAGAGCTAGGGTTTAGGATAGGCTTCAAGTATTTTCACAAGTCTAACTTGAATTGAGGTAAAGTTAAACATTTGTTAACCCAAATTCAACTTGGATTATAAAAGAAAATGTCTAATTACATCATTAGAAACGAATGCTACTTGTCTTACCCATTAAGTTGAAAAATTAAGTCCTTCAAATTACACTCTATATATTCGACCACATAAAAATTAAAGTTTTGAAATTGCAATCAGTAAAAATTGAAATTAAATTCTGTAATTCTAAACTAAATTTTTTTCCAAATTCTAATTCTAGCAACCGAACATAGACTTCATGTAATCTCATCTAATGAAATATCTATTAATTTGTTTTGTTTGGAATTGTTTATCTTAAAGTGCGTCAAAAGTAGGAAATTTTGTTGCCCTTTCAATTTGCAACATAGACGCAAGGCAACGCATAACCGCACAAAAGACTCGACACGTCCTCTATTTTGCTCTTTGATGCCAAATGATTTTCAAACAAGTAAAACGTTGCCAACCCCAAATTTCATACAACACCAGTGGAACGTGTTCCACTCAGATTATCAACATGTGTCACTCGTGGGATGGTTGAATTGGGACACCACATTCTTTTCCCCATAGACGTAAAGGCTTTATAAATAGTAACAAAAAGAGAGACACAGATTAATTTATAACACCACGTGACTTGCGTGTGATCAAAGCCTCTTCATTATTGGCTATCTTACAAGCCACGCATCATATCATGCATACAAATATTATATACAGAGATAGACTAGAGGATGGATTGATGGGTGCTTTAAGTCCGTCCAACTAACAGAACTAATTTAACGGGAAAGCAGATGGGATGGTTAGTGTGTGAAAAAAACTGTAGAGCAAAGTGTGACACTGTTATGTGGCCCCCATCTTTGGCTTTTACTTCACAACTAAACTGCCACCTATTGTTGTTGGTGTAATTAGATTATATTGGTGTGTGTGTGCGCAATGTCTTCACCTTTTGGTAGTATTAGTTACAACGTCTCTCACTCCTCTTCTGCCCTTAGATTCCCTCTTTTAACGTCTCTCCCTAAAACCAACTTATCTCTCTCAATTAGCATTTAAAAAATTGACGCCACATGAGGTGGATTTACAACAATTATAGTTAAGTAATGTTTTAGAGTCTATTACTCGGATAAATCTGAAAGGATCACATTAAACAGGAAAGTAGACAGAATTCTTTTGAATTTGTCTGACTGTCAGAGTTCAAATCATTTTTCATTATTTGTTATATTTCAATCTCATTAACTCAAATAAAATATCAAATATTAGGGGTATGTTTGTCATTTAATTGCAGAAAAAAAATAGAGTACATTTATCATTTTCCTATGGGACTTTTCTCGGACTAATCCTCAAGACACTATGTAAAGTGTCCCCTTCACATGAATCGGGAAAAGCTCAAACTTTCACTCGCGGGCGTCATCTCAAGAAATTGTTTACACTCAAGGGGTGGTCAAACCTTAAACTTGATACTTCGTAAAGCACTAAGTTGAAAGTGACTTATTAGTATAGCCAACCCATCGAGGCTTGTTGTAAACCATAAAACGAAAGCGAAGAGATAAATAAAACAAGTAAAACACAAAGATATTACGTGGTTCAGCCACTAGGGCCTACATCCACGGCACAAAAAGTCCAACGGGTTAAATCACTTTTATAATACTCTCTCAATTCATACATAATATAATTGTGGTGGCTCCTTTATATAGGAGGAGAAATTATGAGAATTGACAGAATTAGAAAATAAAAATAAGGAGGATTTTTCTCCACTGATTCCTTTAGTAACATCAAATATTCAATGATAAGAAACAATATCAATTACTCAAATATTTTCTTCCACTAATTCTTCCATTAAATCTTCAATACTCCCCCTCAAGTTGGAACATGAATGCACAACTTGTCATTGAGATGACGAGTAATAATAAGTGTGAATGATGAAGAGATAAGACGAAGAACAATGCAACCAAACATACCGATAACCCAAACAAGTCAACAAAAAACTGTCGGAGATAAGACAAAGATAAGGACAATGCTACCAAACACACCGACAATCCAAACAAGTGATGTAGTCTTTTGGACTTTTTGTGCCTTGAATGTAGGCCATAGTGACTAAATCACATAATATATGTGGGTTCTACCTGTTTTATTTATTTTTTCACTTCTGTTTTATACTTTACAACAAGGTTAATTCACAACAACTTTTCTATGTTATTTATTGGTGTTTATTTATCTTTAAGTCATGGTTCGCCGTATCGGTCAGTTCGTAACATTTTTTCAAGGATCTGATACCATTACACATTTCTATGAATTAATCAGTTTTGTTGGTTTATAGCGACATTCGCTTAAGTCTATTATATCATAAATATCATGACTACGAACCATGTTTTAAATCGATCTCTCGTAATAAAATGAATTGAACATTAAAAAGATAAATTGATAAATGGCTAATTAGTAAGATGTCACTTCTCTGAATTAGCTCCATTGAGGTTAATGTAATTGTCAATGTTGAAAAATGATTCGAATTGGATGATCCTTGGGTCATTGTTAATTAAGGATGTTTAATTATGTAGTGATGTAACCTTGCTTCATTAAAAACCAAAGGAATAATAAAAATGGGTAAGAAAGAGAAATGATGCTTGTATTGATAGGTGGGCAAAGTGGACACATCATTGCTTTGTTTGAAGTGCATAAATAATTTAATGAAGCAATCATATTTACACCTTTATCATGTTGGAAATCAATCACAAAGCCTTGATTTAGAAGTTACAGTATGAGCCGTTGTGAAAGACTGAAAGGTAACAACAATACTATTGAAATCTTTTAGGGCTTAAGATTGTGAAAAATGATTATTTCGTGGACACTGATTAGTGGCTTTTCTAGAAGACAAGGACATATCTATTAATGGTTGATCAAGTGTAATAATTTCTTTACGAGTTGTCTTGAAGTCTTTTAAGTGGATTTGTTATTTAATCTGCCTTCATTAATGGGCAAACACTTTCTTTAAATAGTAACAAATTTTGTTACCGACGTCAATATGCCACATTTCGAGCATTACTCATACCTGATGGAATGTTTAGCTGTTTATCTCCTGTTCGAATACCCACTCTCCCTAATTTGTTAAAATAATAATAATAATAAAATGCCACATTTCAATATCTTGGTAAATAAGTGATAGGGATGCCCATATTTTGAGGATTTTTTTATATTTTTTTCTCTCATGGAATTTTTTATTTATTTATAATAACCTTTAAATTACCATTAGATCATAATAACAACTTCATCATGACAAAATTAATGAATTTTTTATATTTAATTATTGTATTGAATGATGTATTAAATAATTTATTTAACTTTTCAAAAATTTTAAAAAATTATCTATCAGTGAAGAATTCACGAGAATCACGACTCTTAGCACAAATTTGCTCTCTTAATTTATTCAAAATTCACAAAAATTAAATAAATAAATAGAAGAGAGTATTTATACTTGTTTTTACTTCCACGATAGATTTTTATACTTGTCCTCAATCGAAGACTTCAAATTTGACCGTATAATGTTATATTCACACACATATACGTAGTACAAAGTAGTTTCATTAGTAGAATTCAACCATCTGCCAAAAAGAAGAATACTCCAAATCAACCAATTTGGTGGTTCAACCCACCCCATATCCACTATAACTCCCAAACTTACTTTCTCAAAGTCAGAGCAGCACTCTCACACAAAACAACGCATCTAGGTTTAAATTATCAAATCCCAATCTACCATATCCAACCTCTTACACATCCCCACCAAACCTTACTTTAAAATAAAAAAATATTTTTCATTTTACACACCCTTTGATCCTATTTACATCACGTGCCATTTTGTCAACATTTCCTACCTTTGGACACATTGAGAACTTCCGTTAAAGCAATCGTCAACTCCAGAGAGAGAAACATATACATTTAGAGAGAGAAACCAACCAATGAAACATGACTTTCACAAGGCCGCCTTAGGGGATAATATATTACTCCACTATATAAATAGGGCCAAACAAACTTAAAACTAAACCACAATCACAAACCAAAGCTTCCAAGCTTTTCTTATTCATTTCAACTATCCCACACAAAATGGACTGGACCAGAGGTCACACCATTGGCCGTGGCTCCTCCGCCACCGTCTCCGTCGCCACCTCTCACCCGTCCGGTGACATTTTTGCCGTGAAGTCCGCCGAGCTCTCGCAATCCCAATTCTTGCAAAGAGAGCAAAAATTTCTGTCTTCTTTGGGCTGTCCCAATATGGTTAGCTACAAGGGGTGTGACATTACTAGGGAAAACAATAAGCTTGTGTACAATATTTTCATGGAGTATGCCCCGGGTGGCACACTCACCGATGCAATCCGGAGACACGGTGGCCGGCTTGACGAATCGATGATCGGATATTATGTTCAACAAGTTGTGCAAGGGCTAGAGTATCTTCATTCGAGTGGCGTAGTGCATTGTGACATAAAGTGTAGGAACATTTTAATTGGTCAAGATGGTGTCAAAATTGGTGACTTGGGTTGTGCCAAGTGGCTCAATCCGGTGGCCGGAGCTAGTGACACGGCGCAAATTGGCGGCACGCCGGCTTTCATGGCACCGGAAGTGGCACGTGGGGAAGAGCAGGGGTACCCTGCTGATATATGGGCACTTGGGTGTGCAGTGATTGAAATGGCCACCGGAGGCTCACCGTGGCCTAATGTCACCGACCCAGTATCGGTTCTTTATCGGATTGCATTTTCCGGGGAGTTACCGGAGTTCCCAGATGATCTCTCCGATCAAGCAAAGGATTTTTTGAGCAAATGTTTGAAGATAGATCCAAAACAGAGATGGACAGCTAAGGAACTACTCGAACATCCACTAATTAGAGAATTCAATTCAGTGGCAAAACAAATCCAAGACTTTGATCATTCAAATTCTCCAACAAGTATTCTTGATGAAGGGTTTTGGAATTCAACCCAAGAATCAGAAACACTGGGTGATCTGGTCCACACAAGCTGTTCGAGCTCGCCGGCGCGAAGGATCGGACGGTTGTCTTGTTCAGGGATGCCTGATTGGACATGGGATGAGGATTGGATGACCATTAGAAGCAACAGTGATGAGATGGTAGAGGAAATTATTGGTAAGGTGGACGGCCAAGCTAAAGCAAAATGTGGGACAGTGACGGCTTCAATTAGCCTTGAATTGGAGTTGGAAGCAATAATTAGTGGTAATGACCATCTAAAATTTCTTAGATAGCGAAGTTAGTTGCAATAATAGTAGTAGTGATAGTATTTTGATGTCAGGCATATGTACAGAGCAGAGTGTTGATAGGAGCAGACTTGGTTTGTAGAGAGAGAATTTGTTACTTGTTCACTCTCATCATTTCTTATAAAAAATTTAGGTTCATTATTCATATCTGTCTCTCCCTACACACAGACACAAATCAATTTTATTTATTTTTATTATTATTATTTTTTAATTATTGGTTTATGGTATTAAAAATCAAAATCTTTAGTTAGTTTGGTGTTGGTTTTGGTAACCACGCAAGTTAGAAAGTTTTCAATCCAAATGGAAATTGAGTAACAAAACAGTATTGAAATTGAGTAGTGTTCAATTTGATTTGCTCTGAGTTCCACTACTCAATGCTAAAAACCAACTATTGATGATTTGATGCTTAAAATCATCATTTCTAACCCAACATTTACCTAATGTTCAATTGAAAATTAGAACAAGAATTGGAAATGAAAGTTGACTAAAATGATTTTTATTTTTAAATTTTTGACTAAGATGTACTATTTTATTTGTGAAATTTCATAAGCATGCATTTAGAAGTCTAAGTCAACCTGGCAACGGTGGTCTATCTCAATCCTTCATTTCATTAGACTCGTCCTCCTCCTCTTCCAATTTTATGTCACTGGAAAATGATTTACTGTGCAATGAGTCACCGACTCACCCTTATGAATATGCTTTTTAATACAGTCGTGACTCACACCATGATATTACCCGTTAATTAAATATTAACACATAATAATATAAGATAAATCTATTTTTTACTTAAATAAAAAGACATAATTATATTTGTTACATCAAAAATAAAAATTAAAAATTAAAAATCAATTTCTTCTATATATATAATTCCTCTTCCACAAATTACTCTCTTCAAGGAACGATTAAAAGAAAATTGTCTCCCTCACCACGGCACGGTCTTGTGATTACTTACATGGAGGCCATCAAGCTTGAAGTGGTGACACATTTCCAAAACTTACTTGGTTGTGCCCCTCCTTCAACACATTGTATTATTAATCTTCAGAGCCACATAGATCCCCGATCATTTTCACTCTCTATTGGATGAGATTCCATCACACATGGACATTTAATCTTGCATGTTCAAGCTTAGCAAAGATAAAGTGTGATACCCCTCGGATTCGAGACGCGAGTTGATCAGCCCCAGACCCAAACCCAAGAGAATATCAAACAATTAATACTTTAAACCGAACACAGAATACAAATTGAATTAAGAATAAACATTATATGCTGGAAGAAACTAAAATAAAATTCTTTAAAATAAATACTTAAATCCCAATAGTTTAAATAACTCGAGAATCCATCTCTAGTGGACTCCTAATAATAATCTAAAATGAAATAACGATAACTGGAAGAAATATCCAAAAATAAACTACAGAGAGAGTCCTACGTCGTCGGAAGAATGAGTAGTAGTCTCTACTCAGCACGATCAGATCTAAGTCTGGAACTGTCGTGTACCTGAAAAATAGAAGTGGGTCAGGCCCACGAACAAGTTCTAACCTACTACAATCCAAGCAGAAACTCGATACGCATATACATTCTAAGCAATTCAACAATAGCTAATAGTCCGATACATAACTATATCCACATTACAGGACTCTCACTGGACTACGGAGGGGGTCTCAACCTGAATAGAAGGCAACATGCGAAAACGCACCCAATGGTGGGCATGAGTACCTAGACCTAACAGGGTATACATCAACCTCTCATATCCAGCTACGCATCCTATTGCATATACGCTTCCTAACGGACGACTCTGAGACTCAAGCTCAGATCGCAGTACCATAACATATATTTAAAATCCGTCCTAACCATAAAAGTCCAGTTAGTAATTCAGCTTGTGCAGTTTCTTTAACTTAACATAACTCACGACTAATCCGAGCAGTCATTCAGCTTATGCAGCTTCTTTGACTCAATTATAAGTATGATTTATTTTAATACCCATTCCCTTATTCCGTATAGGTAAGATTTAGTATTTTGAAACTAATCCAAACCTAGACATGCCACCGTCCCATACCGGTGCATGTAATCCAACATCCACAGTTGACAACATAGGTAATAAATGTAATTATCAACTATATAGTATATCCAACAATAAATCCAACATCCACAGTTGACAATGCGAGTAATAAAACAATTATCAACTATACAGAATATCCAACAATCGACAGTATCTCACTCAATTATAAACATCAATTGCTTCACATTAACCATGTTAAAACTTTGTTATTTAACAAGTCTATTCTACACTTCTCCACACAGTTCCACGATGGATAATACATACCATGTACATAACCCTTAATTAAATCCAAGTATGCATGACAGATTTGTTTTACAAATTTACATACTTATCCTATAATACTACACAGGTGTTCCAGAGTGAATAAAACAGTTAATGTAAGTATTCATCTTTCATCCATTATAAGCATGTATTTCATTCTATACTCCTGCATACTTATAGTCCGTTACAGAACCATGATCATAGCCTAATTCCATTCCCCAAATAAAACTGCTACACCTAAAGTGATGTAGTTTAAATTCCAAGTCTCCAAACAGTCTACCAGTTTCCTAGAAATTGTATACTGTCCAAACAATAATATTAATTGGTTGAATATGTATTAATAAGCCCTCTGAAGACTCAAGTTAAACTCAGACATCAACCCCAATTCCCATTCACAGCCCCTAAACACATCTATTATGTCAAAACAAGTCCAAACCTCGTAGAAAATAAAAAAAACTGGAAAAAAAACATAAGGAGAGCAGCCTCCCACAAGGAGGAGCCGCCTCCACCTATGCTAGAGCCGGCTCCAACCATGGTAGAGCCGGCTCCTAACCATGTAGAGCCGGCTCCATGGTTCAATGGAGCCGTCTCATCTTCCCCCTCTCCTCTGTATACTTGTGTCGTCTCTGTTTGACTGCACTACCTTCGTCCCTCTCTGATACAGCTTTTAACACTTTTATTTGTGATCAAACCTACCCAGAGAAAACCCATCTACCTCCTTCATGCATTGATTAATAGTATTTTAAAAGAACAATTACACAGTTGGACCCAAAACAAACACTTTACAACAAGTTTTAGCACATACAGAAATAATGAGTTCTAAACATGCATAGTCAATTAACTCCGTTTAATAATTTCCTAGAACTACTTAGGCATGCAAAGAACACGAGTAAAAGGGAAAGAGATGAGGTTAGAACTTGCCTTTAGCCTTGCACCATTGTCCTCCTATATCCTCCCCTTGGCAGACCTTACAATACTCTGTTCTCAACCCTCTGTTTGTTTGTTTACAGAACCTAGGTTACGTTTGTGAACTCAGTGCTCTGATTGTAACCCTAGACTTATATTATCATGGTGTATTTATAAGTTTTAATCCCTAAAACCCTAATTCTTGTAAGATTAGAGACAGAGCCCAACTCGGCCCATAAACCATCCTATGTTAAAACCAACGCTGGCTACCATATAAATTTTAAACCTAATGCAAAACTATATGTGTGCAATACAGTCACGTTTAAGTCAATTTAAAATAATTAAAGTAAAACAATTAAATAACTACAATTAATTTAAAATAAAACAATTAAAAATAATTAAGTATTAATTAAAGCAATTCAATTAAACTAATTAAATACCTAACTACCAGTAAATAAATTAAATTAACACATATAAACTTCAACAATTAAAAATGAAATTTAAACAATAAATTAAATATCAGGACTATCTTTTTGAAATTAGGGGTATTACATAAAGCCCCTTGTCCAGATGGTTATAGTGCTTCTTTCTTTCACAAGACTTAGGGAATTGTGGGGAGGTCTGTTACCAATACAATCTAAGAATTTTTCAGAAATAGAAAGATGTTCTCCGAGGCCAACAATACATACATAGCCCTGGTTCCCTAATGTCCAAACCCTTCCTCCATGCTTGACCACAGACCTATTTCCTACTGTAATCCTGTATACAAGTGTATAGCCAAATTGCTTACAACCAACATATCACAAGTAGCCTTCATACATGGAAGGAAGATCACGGACCCTATATGACTAGCTCACGAGCTGTTCAGAAGGTACCACAAGAACTCTTCCCCTGCCAGATGTGCCATCAAGGTTGACTTAAGGAAAACATTTGACTCAGTGAAATGGGACTTTATTCTAAGCTGCCTCTCACTCCTGAACTTCCCACCCAAATTCATTTCACTAACACAGTCTTGTATTTCCACACCCTCATTTACCATTGCCTTAAATGAGGGATTCTTCAAATGCAAAAGAGGGCTGAGACAAGGGGACCATATTTTCCCCTTCTTCTTTGTTATAGTGATGGATGTTTTGTCCTTCATTATAAATGATTATATGAAAAATGCACATACCTTCAAATACCATTGGAGATGTGGAGCACTGAAGATTACTCATCTTTCTTATGCTAATGACCTCCTCCTTTTGTGCCATGGTGACATTACTTCTGTTTCAATATTGAAATCTGCCTTTGATCATTTCTGCAGCATGTCTGGTCTTGACATAAACCTCTCCAAAAGTAATGTTTTCTTCTTTAGAACTAACCCTCATACTCAATCACAAATCACAACCTTGCTTTGTATTGGTCTTGGCACCTTTCCAGTCAAGTATCTTGGAGTCCCACTTATTTCCACAAACCTAAAGGCACAACATTACAGTATTCTAATTAAGAAGATCACAAATAGAATCTCACATTGGTCTGCTAGATCACTTTCTTATGCAGGTAGACTTTAGCTCATTAAAGCAGTCTTGGTTTCTACACAAATCTAGTAGTCAAGCTTATTCATCCTCCCAAAGGCAGTCATCAACGAGCTCAACCAAATATTTAAATCCTTCCTTTGGTCAGGTCCAGAAATGAAGACAAGTGGAGTAAAAGTTGCTTAAGTGAAGGTATGTAAACCTAAGGAGGAAGATGGTCTTGGCATCCCAAACTTAGAGTTTACTAATAAAGCTGGTATCTTGAAATATATTTGGGATATACAAACCAATGAAAATTACAGGTTGTGGATCACTTGGTGCAACACATACCTCATTAAGTTAAGGAACTTCTGGACACTCAAGATCCTTCAGCCTTGCTCTTGGAGCTGGAGGAAGATACTACAACTCAGAAATCCTGCAAAGCTTTTTATCCAACACAGAATTGGTAATGGCAATACTACATTTTTTTTGGTGGGACAATTGGATTTTTGGAAGCCCTCTCAGCACAAGATATCTATTAAGAACACTCACTGATGCTGGATTCAATGATACAATTACAGTTAATATTTTCATCTTGAATTCATCTTAGTCTTTTCCCATAGGCCTTACAAATGCTATCCCAAAGCTGCCCTCACTTCCCACTCCATGCCCTTCTAGAAATGACAAAAAAACTTTAGATAACATCCCCAAATGGTACCTATAGCCTTAAACACACAACATGTCATCTCGCTGAGCACTGTCCTGAAGTCCATTAGCATAATTTAGTGTAGAAATCCCTCACAATACCAAGAATGAAGTTTAACCTTTGGCTAGCAGTCCAATCTAGGCTTCCAACTATTGACTGCAAATTAATGTCCCACCATGAAAATGTCTGTGCTCTTTGTCAAAACTGTGATACCACTCGACTTCGAGACATAGGTTGATCAGGCCCAAGCCTAAACCATAGGGAAATATCAAACAATTAAAGTGTTTAACAAACATTGAGTACAAAAAGAAATAAGAATAAATAAATAAGCTGAAAGAAGTAAATAATAAATCCTCCAATAATACGCCATTTAAAAATAATCTAATAATCCAAAACCTCTTATACCAGTAACCGTCTAGATTATAATTCGAGAATCCATCATTTGGACCCCTAATAAAATCATAACTGAAAATCGAAGTATAAATATCCGATACTAAAATAAAGAAAGAAATCCTACATAGACGAGTGATGAAGATTATCTCCACTCAGCACGAACAATCTTTAAGCCTGAACTGACGAACACCTGAAAAATAATGGTGGGTAAGGTCCATAAATAAGTTCTATTATACTATAGTCCAAACAGAGACTCGATGATATGTATACGTACATCCTAGTCAATTCAACAATAGCTAAGCAGTCCGTATGTATATATACACATTATAGGATGATCATTGGCCTATAGGTCTGCCTCAACTTGAACAGTTGGTAACATGCAAATCGCACATAAAATAGGCATGAGTACCTAGACCTACCAGGGCACACAGCTATCTACTATATCCAGTTATCCATCATAGGTAATATATACACCCTAACCATGATTCTGAGACTCAAACTCATATCATGACACACACACACACACACACACACACACACACACACACACATATATATAAAGAGTCCATCCTAATCCAAACATAAAAGTAAAACTATTCAACCATGTCATCCAACTGATTCAGTGGCCTGCCATGAAATAGGTAGGCCTTAACTTCTTTTGGTTAATCCGTTCCTAGAATAATAGAAATAAGTAGAACTTAACTTCTTTAGTTAATACGTCCTTAAAAGACCCCTATCCAATAATGGTGAACATATCCATACAATCTAATAATTGATGAAGTGAATAAAATAATACATCAATTAAATCCATAAACAAGCATAATAAAAATCAGAAACAATATATGATTAAATTATATTGCCAATATATGATTAACATTATCAAATATCCATTTAAATTGCTAAAATAATATTAAGCAATTAAATCATTCAATAACAATACGTCAATTTAATTGAAATTTCATATTGTTTAAGTTAGTCCATAATAATCATATTAATCATGTTTTATGAACTAATCAACCCTAAAATCCCCAAAACCAATTTCTAGAACCCAAAACACGTCAAAAACCAAAATTCAGCAAGGGAGCATACTCCCTTTTTAAGGGAGCAGGCTCTGCCTACAAGAGAGCCGGCTCAATCTGCTCTGTCCATAAGAGAGCCGGCTCTCTCCCTGAGAGCTGTCAAATTTTCACAGAGGGAGTCGGCTCTCTCCTTGCTATTCTTCTCTTTCTTCGTCTCCGGCGACCTTCGAACACTCCGATCATCTTTGTTAAGGGTCTTAAGTGTCTGTTCTATGTCCCAAACAATTCCAATTAATCATACAAAGTCTCTATGCATCTTTAACACAAATTAAAACAAGTTTATATGTAGGAAAATTCAAGATCTAACAAGAACACATACCAACACATAAAATCTGTTTTAATGCAATTTAAGCATGCATACATGGTCAATTTATTATCTGATTAATCCTAAAATTAACCTAGGCATGTACAGAACACGAATCTAAGGAAAATAGTAGGATAAAAACTTATCTTAAGGTTTCGAATTAAAACCTTCTCTTTTTCTTCCTTGGCTTTTCCAACGGCCTATGGTTGCCATTAAGACTCCTACTGCTCTGGTTCTAACACACGAACAAACCTAATCCTTCCTTCCTTGGTTCATCCCTTGTTCTTGGCCAAAACCCTAGCTTCCTCTCCCTCAGTTTCTCTTCTCTAAACTCTCTGCCTCCACCAATGTGAATAGGGTTTCTAAACCTTTTGGTAGACAATATACTTATATGTATGTACTAACCATTTCTAATCCTATTCCAATTATAATTACCTTAATAACTTAATATAAAAAAAAGAAAAAATATCAATAATATACATATATATGAATCCTCTGCTAAACTAACGTAATATACAAAGATATATATACAAACTATAACTTATATATATATATATACATATTATAATGACTATAAATACATTATTTCTAATTATTTATAATAATAATAATACTAATAATAATATATCCTATATACATATATACTCATATATATATGTATAACTATCCATGGGTAAATATTCGTACCCATCAAGACTCCTATCCAAGTAGTCCATGGGACCCAATTGGTTGGTCCATTACTACTATCTATATTCATTAAAATAAAATAAAATAAAATAACATTTAGATTAACAAATGACTACACATCATCATATAACATTTAAGCAAATAATTTTACACAACATTTAATCTAAATAAACCATTTTAGCACATAATTAAAATAAATAATTAATTCAATTAAACAATTAAACAAATAGTCAATTAATCAAATAATTAAATAAAAATGCACTTAAAACAATTAAATAAATCTCGAAACTATCCTTTTAAAATTATGGGTATTACAAAAACCACCTTGAATCACACCAGCATATCTTCTTCAATTACAGTTTCATCTCCCCAATATGGCGCTTCATCAAACTCAAATGCAAATTCAGTACTACAATTACAAATTGGGAAGACTTGATTCATTCCATAAGCACTCAGTGGAAAAGGAATTCGCGTATGAACCTGCTGCAAAAAGTATGCTTCTCTTCCATGGTCTACCATACTTGGGAAGAAAGAAACGAGAGGATCTTCAAGAAGAAGAAATCAACACAGAGAGTAGTGCTTGCAAAGATCACCTCCACAATCACAACTCTGCTTAAGTTGAGGTTCTTGAAAGATAATCAATCTTCCAGGCAAATTCTCATGGATTGGAACTTGTCGCTGGCTCATTGTCGCCCTCCTCCAAGACCGCCGGACGGATTTCTACTCAGATGATGATCAATCACCACCCTCTGCTAGGGTTTTTCATCGGATCGAGGACTAACAACCTCACTTAACAACGAAGGGAAACAAAGCCCAATAAGCGGCCCAACACGGGATAAGCCCAGCCATGATATACAAAACTAGTAACAGCAGATTCCAAAAAAAAAAAATTGCCTGGTGACGCTACTTAGTATCACCCATACACCGGAAACTTAACTAGGGTTTGCTTCCAATTTATTATGTTTTGTTAAGCATTTTTTTGCCCCTTTATTATGTCTGTATACACTTAGCCATGCTCGCATGTTAGTGGCTGTATGTGTGATGCTGTGAGCACATATAATTGGTGTAATTTTTTTTTTTTTTTGGCGCAAAAATAATTAGAAATAAACGGTATTATTATTATTATTATTATTATACATTTATTACATAAATGGTGTGGGCGGGCGGGCGACCCTTCCCCAACCCGAACCCATCCCATTGTGGGTGGATCAGGGATCAACTGAAGCAGCGCAAATTATCATAGACAGTTGGCCGTCATATTGGACAGTTGGACCCATTCTCCATAGAGTGCGAAACAGCCATTCATTATTAGTTCTTATTTATTTATTTTTTTGAGGAACTGAAACCATATTTCTAATAACAAAAGAGTAAAATAAAGAAAAACATGATAGCCATTATATGACAAATTGAAAATACAAAGAAGTTGTGGCTAATCATCCTATTACACTGACTTCGACCTTAGTAAATACTGAAAAGAATATACTAAAAATTCTTTTAAGGATAATAACATAGTACATCAAAAATCAAGTCGAAGCAGCGATTTATTTTTCTTCACCAATTTGCTCTCTCAATAATGCATCACAGTAACGTTGCACCTGATGATTGCGTACGAAATCTCCATGTCAAAATAAACGGTCTCGAAGGTGGCGTATCCCCGCGCATACCGGAATTTCCCGGTGCCTGCCACCACGGCCACCTCTCTCACGGCGTCGTGTTGGCGGCTTGTGCCCTGTATCTCCAAGGTGCTACCACTGAACTCCTCATTCGTGAACACAATTGAGATCAAAACATGTGTGTTTGACCCATCCAACGCGGAGGTCACGTAAATGCCTTGGGCCCTTCCGATTTGGGCCGAGTTCTTGTCAAGGCCTTCTGTAATTGGGTCATCCGTGCAAAAGATGGTTCCGAAGCCGAAAAACGACCAAACCCTGCCGGGGATGCCGGTTACCGGGAGAACCGTGGCGTTGGCACCGGCGGAGTAATCTTGAAAATACAGGGTCATGGTGGTTTCTTTGAGGTGGACACCATGAGAATGTGAACATAGCAACATTGTCAGAAGCAGCAATAAGGACAGTTTTGGCGCCATTGGAAGATATTTATGGCTAATTTGGGAAAATAAGAATTAAGCTATGAATGAAAGGCCTTGGTATGTTGTCTCATGAATTGATGAAGTGGCTTCTATTTATAAGGTCAGAGAGAGCTAGAGAGACAGGGAGGGAGGGAGAAGGAGCAAAAATTTTGGTCAAAGAATCTATCAAAATAAAACAAAATTGGGAACTTTATAAATTATAGTACTCTCCACTAAATAATACAGGGCGGAGACTTTGAAGAGCATTTTCGTGGGCGTTTTTTAGTGTATTTGAATAATTAAAGAAATCAAAAGATTTTTTGATTTGTGTACTTCTGATCTATTAATTTATTTATCTATTATATTGACTTTGGAAATGCTTTAAGCAATGTAATTTTTAAAAGGAAATTTAAACCAAGACCCATGTGATTGTCACACACATGTAAATATAATAGACATTGATCGTGCATTGTTAATAGAAAGTAATGGCGTCAAAAAAATAAAAAAATCGAATTCGAGGTATAGTGCATAGTTTGATAAAATCATACGATTTTTCCAATTTAAAGTCAATTTGGATAGTAACTTATCAAAAAAATAAAAATCAGCCCATTCAACTTAGACTTGGATAGAAGCGATTGCACAAAACAAGCTCAACCTATGTTGTTATACATGATTATTATTTACTTTTTAAATACTTTATTATATTTAGATTGTTGGAAATTCTGTGATAATGATTATTAACTCCCGTATTTCTTATATGAAGAAATATTATCATTACATGGTCAACTGACCTAGATAGTTTGTTTTTATTTATTTATTTTATTTTATTATTTTTTTTTGTTTTTTTGTTTTCATCAAACAAGCCTTAGGATCATAGATACCAACAGGAAATGCTAACCATTTTCGTATTTTATATAAGAGTAATAATAGTTACACCGAAACCATTCACTGAATTGTTGGGCAGAATAATGTGGTAGTTCAGTTGGCAGAAAACGTGCCGCCCCCAATTTTTAAGACGAAGATTGCATTTTTTATTCCTCTTATTCGATGCAATCTGCAACAACTTCAAATATTTTGATGATCTACAACAAATATTTGAAGATTTGCAGAGTACCTTTGGTAAATCAAATATATATATATATATATCAATCTCCCTGTTGCCGTAATTTTTTTTTTTTAAGAGTTCAACACCAACGTCAATCCATTGAATAGAGATTGATTCAGATGATTAGCGCTGATCAAACAATTCCATATATATATGTGTGTGTGTGTGTGTGTGTGTGTTTACCAAAGGTACTCAATAGTTCCAAAACGTCAAAAAGTTACAAATCGTCAAAAGTTTGTTTTAGATCATCAAACCATTTAGAGTTGTTGCAGATCACGTCGAATCGGAGGAAGAAGAAAAAAACGCAAGAAATTGAGGATGATGAGAGAAATTTCATTTAAGAAATTGAGGACAGCGGAGAAGTTTCTGAAATTAGGGATGTGATGATGAACAGTAAAAGTAAATAACTTGATTAGTAAAAAATCACGTTAAATCATTCTACCCAACAATTCGGTGCATGGCTTCGGTATAATTATCATTACTCTTTATATAAATGTGGGTGTGTACCTTCAAAAAAAAAAAAAAAAGTAATATATAGAATTTACTCCTCATCAGATTCTCTTATTGATTTATTTATTTATTTATTATTATTATTATTATTTATTTTGTGAATGGTTAATCTAACAAAGAATGGAATCATGCTAAACCGTCAACTCCTCACTAGCGTCTGCCAACTTGCGCCAAGTTGAGCTTTATTCATTATTCTTAACAAGAAGATTGGTTAGATAGTTAGATAATTCTTCTAGACTAGAAGGATGCTTTGATTATTATGTAAAAAATTAAACATAAAATGTAGACATGACACGTTTTAGGGTGGCAAATTACGATACGATCCATCAACACGATTTGAACATGACATGATACAAGATAAGCGGGTTTCGGTTGACCTTAAACGGGTTCGACTTATAAACGGGTTGATATGATTAACCTGTTTATTTAACCGTGTCTGGTTAAGGTTGAGAGGTTCAACCCGTCTAACCCGTTTAACTTAACATGTTATAATCGTTAATATGACTTATGTAATATACTACATGTGACGACCTAAGTTTTTCAACTCAGTGCGTCAGTGATGAACCGAAAAATGACCCGATAACGGATCCGAAGTGCGGAAGCAAAAGACAAAACAACGGTCTCTAGAGATACTACATGGCTCTAAGACACCACTATGACCCTCAACGAGGTCACATTACCTAAAGGAATCAAATGCGGAAACAACGTTTCAAAAACGAACAAGAATGAACCTAGGGGAAAAATCATCATTTCCAACTTAAAAGTGGAGCCACCAAGCACACCATTGGAAAGACAACGAAAAATTAATGAATTTAGACTCAAGAATCACTTGATTCGGAGTCCGGATGAAGAAGATATGGCTAACGGAAGAAGAAGGGGCAAAACGGTCCAAAAGAGGTAACCCATGAACATCTAACCGGTTAGGAGGCCAAAAATAGTGACAAAAACGCTGCCCACACTCATCTAACCGGTTACGAGATCCCATCTAACCATTTAGATGTGAAGAGGTAGTAAGGGGGCGACCCAAAAACTTGGCAGCAGGGGTTTTTCCGGGAAAAATGGAAATTTGAGGGTCAAGATGACATTTTCTGGAAAAACGCAAAGAAGATATCCCCCTCAAAATCGGGTTTTCTACGTGACTAGGGAGAAAAATAATAAATAAAAAAAACTCGCTGTGAAATGCCCAAAATGCCCTCCTAAGAAAACTGGTCCAGAGGGTCCAAAAAGTTGCTAAATTTAAAAACTAAGAGCTGAACTTCGTATACGATTTCCGATACCAAGACGACATTTTTTGAAAAAACACGAAAAAGAAACCCCCCCTAAAATCATGTTTTCTATTCAACCATATTGAAACAAAGAAATAAAACTGAATTGAAAAGTCTAGAATACCCCTAGATTAGAATATGCAACAAAAATGCAAAATGAGTCCGTTGGAAGCTCAAAACACAAACGATGAGGTTTTGCCCGGAAACGACTATGCACGCAAACGTAACTTACCTATTTAGACGTGCTACAATGGTCCATGGCTTAAAAACATAGCCAACGCAAAATTCAACCCCCCAACGGGCAAAAAGACAAAAATGGACTTAGAATGGAAAATATGGAATCCAAAAATACAAAATGGAGTCAATTGACCGTTTGGCCTTTGACCACACTTCATACAAGATTAATAAGACCCTATGAAAGAATGAAAATGGAATTCCCACACCCGATGCAGCCATAGTGAAGCAATGATTTGCGATTTTTCAAGGTTTTCATAATATTTCATGAAGTTAAAAAGTTGCATAGAATACAATATACATGTCATTGGCCTCCGGCCTCTTCTCATATATATCAAATACATTGAAAGAAGTGTACTTAAGTACACATTACATACATGGAATCAAATATACATATTTTGACATATAAGACTACAATTGGCATTCTGAGCCAACCTTCACAAAAATGGAAGTCTCCAAGTCCACAAACCATCCAAGCATAATGAAGACCTCAACTTTAATTCTTGTACCTGAAATATGCCCCAGTATCATAGGGGTGAGTAACATAAAGCTACTCGTAGGAGATGAGCATGCATCGACCTAGCATTTTACAAATTTATCACCTTAAGGTGAAATATGTTAAAGGGGCTCATGTCACCTAACGTCTATGTCCAAATGAGACTCGGGGAGCATCCTAAGCTACCTTAGAGTCTAAGCAACAAGAATCATGATATACATACGTGTATGAAATGAATCATGGTTGGGATAATCTAAAGAACACGACAAGAAGAATGCTTGAGCATAGATTAACATGAATTGCGTCTTCAATACAATTGAACTAGGTCTAGAGTAATCCATATAACATGACAAAAGCATATTTGAATACAAGTTAACAAGAATCACATTACCCATGCAATCCAACAACAAAAGAGTATGTTATACAATGCAACAAGGTATAAGTTCTCAAAGCCATCAACTTAGAATCTAAAGCACAGAGTAACAGTGGTGGTTCATGTCACCTAACGTCTAAGTTCTAAATGAATCAATAGGATCAATCCTAAGCTTTGTTAGAACGTCAAAACACAATTTTCAATATCGATGCAATTTAACCAACATTGGAACTTCCAATACAACGCATAAAGCACAGTTTCACAAAGTTAACATCATGTAACTTAAAATGGAACGACAAATAAGGAACAACAAGTTACAACATCATCTAGTTATCAACTTGAAAATGAAATGCGAAATCAAACAAAGTGGATACTCGGACGTCACGCCGGATCAGACCGACAACATAGTTACTTTAGGGTTACTAGCCCATGGGTAACCTCCCTATGTGCGCACTAGACTATATAGAGGGACTATCCCCCGTACTAGAACCACGTCCTAGCCATAGTCAACAACGACATCCCCAAGTTTCCAAAATCAACAAGTTGTGAAATAACGCATATATCAACAGGAATATGTAAGATAATCAACTATCTACCAAGCACAACCAAATTTGGAAACCTATACAATACATGCTCTAAATCCACAACTAATATGATATGATGAATGTCGAATCTTCAGTGTGCGATTCGTTACACGCTATGCATGAAAGATGTAAAATATGAAGTGTGCAAATCATTACGCAAGATAACAATATATTCAATATTGAAAACATAAGCTCATGAGTTTAAATACAATAACAAGGTAGAACTTTAATTAAATCATGCTAATTTAAATCCCAAGGTTCTAAAACAACTTCAAATAGTCCCAAATTAATATATACTAGTAAACAAGTCATGGTCAATACAAATATCAAGTTAAAACCTTAATTAAGCTAATGGGACCACAAAATAGATTTTAATTAATTCTTTTAATTAAAATCTCTTGATTTTCAAACTTAACCAAGTGCTCTCAAATTAACCTATGTTGGAAAACATGCCAAAAACTAATGTAATATCACATTACAAGTTTATTTCATTCAATTTAAGACCATGTGAATTAAACTTTCACTAAAGTTAAATATAAATTAAAAGTTGCAATTCTTATGCAATTAATCCCAATTTAATATATGTGAAC